AAGCGTTAACTGGACCAAACTTTGATTGGTCATGTTGCTGCATAATAACCTAAAAAGGGCGACTTGAAATAATCGCACTGTCACAAGTATTTTAGTTTTTCTGCATAAATATAATCATTACCTTAAAGCATAAAGGTTAGATGGCTTATGTATTGAACCAAATCATTAATAGGCAAGCTTGCCCATGCAGTACCTCTTTGATCAAACGACACGGCAAATTTTTAAGAACACTAAAAGAAAATACACTGAAAAACGGCCGCTCAGAGTGCCGGGCGCATTCACGATACTGCATGTGGCAAGCTGTTCCGAATTGGGTGGTGGAGTAACGCCTTTAACAGAGGCTATATTTGTCGACCTTACCCGACTTTCAAATGGAGAATCTCACTTTTCGGTGAACGGGGACCGAAATACCCCACTTGCGTGTCTGGTATTACAGACCGCTTTCTTTCCCGATATCTTCGCGTACACCAAGCTTCGTGAGAATGAGCAATCTCAGAATCTGGATGAATGTTGTCCTTGTAGTGTGAGGTTCATGAGTAATTATTGTTATAAACTACGACATATAGTATGGATGATAATGTTTGTCAAGTTTATTGCGGACTATGTCATCCTCATAAAAGTATTAGATCAAGTAAAAAGGCTTCAATTAAAATAGTTAAACATGACCAGAAATCATTTCGATGATAAGATATTTTTGACGCACTTCTCGTCATGATATTAAATTTATAACATACAACGAAACGAGGACATCATAATCATAAAGACGTTCGTTGTGCAGATATGTATTTGCTTATTTATACATACAGTGACAAAAAGAATAATGCGCTATAATCATGAGCAAAAAACCAAGACGTTTCGGAGAAAGGTAAAAAATCATCCGAGCAGTCAATTAGGCAATTCTTCAACGATCTTTAGTATCAGAAAGCGAAAAGGTTTAATTGTCGTGATAAAAATGAGCTTGTCATAGAGATTTATTATACAAGTGAGCATCGAAATGTTTCTTTAACGAACTGCTATAAAATTTTTAAACCAAATACACTTGTGCTGAAATTTCATATCCTCAGTATCGAGAAGCATAATGTTCCATTATGGTTGCATCAACTATTGTAAAATAGATTAAGTCCTTCGATGTCTTGTAATGCCCTAATTACTCAGCTAATTATTATCTTTCTAAAGGATTGTAGATTTGAGAGTTTCTGTTTCTTTCGTGTTACATGCAATGTACATTCAATCATCACGGCTTGATGTGTTGTGGGGAAATAAATATTGTATCCTATACGTATACAGATCATATTAAATCGAATAAAAGTTTGATGAAATTCAATTCTTATCTTGCCAGAATCATCATTTTTTTAAATACCGTCTTTATAACGAATTCCAAGAAATATGCCGTCTGCCTAAACAACCACCCCCCCCCCCCTATTTCAAATTTGACGTCTGAGCCCCGGCCACTCCCTATTTTCAAATCCTTGATCTGCCGTTTTGGGGGGGGGGGGGCAAGAAATAGGCAAAGAAAGTTGAGTAGACCTTGAGATTACGCACGGAATAAATGTAACGAAAACAATATTTACAACATTCTATTCTTGCTTTCATACCTCAAAAATATTTAACGGTCAAACCAACAAAATGTATGTTTTCCCGGCCTTTCCTTATAGGCCTACGCCTACACCATTTTTCTAAACGCGTTCGAGTTTATTTCGTCTATGCGAATAAATTTGGTGGTGGAGTAACACCTTTAACAGAGGCTATATTTGTCGACCTTACCCGACTTTCAAATGGAGAATCTCACTTTTCGGTGAACGGGGACCGAAATACCCCACTTGCGTGTCTGGTATTACAGACCGCTTTCTTTCCCGATATCTTCGCGTACACCAAGCTTCGTGAGAATGAGCAATCTCAGAATCTGGATGAATGTTGTCCTTGTAGTGTGAGGTTCATGAGTAATTATTGTTATAAACTACGACATATAGTATGGATGATAATGTTTGTCAAGTTTATTGCGGACTATGTCATCCTCATAAAAGTATTAGATCAAGTAAAAAGGCTTCAATTAAAATAGTTAAACATGACCAGAAATCATTTCGATGTTTTTGACAATTTTAGACAATATCATATTTAATTGTGTCCATGTACTATATCGAACTAGACAATTATGATGAAACTTGAAAGGAACATAATTATAACCAGGAAGTTCCTGATATAACTATGCTTATAAAGTGAAGCAAGGAAGATGAAACTGGCATCTCCCATGTATACCGGTAGCTATGAGAATGGACATAATCCGAACCTATATGAGACTGCGAATAAGACTAGAACATCATGGAGGAGTTCCAAGCAGTACTTATCAAGGTTGGGCTGGCGATGTCCTGGCAAAGTTTGTTTATACTGCAGATTAGGGACTCTCTTGCTCTGTGGTGAGCTTACCACCAAAATGCACCCCACTTTCGGGTCCAAAGTGGGGTGAAGTTTAAATGGACTGTTTTCGTCATGGGTCCAAAAGAACCCAAAATTCAATCTGACATAAGAAGAAAGGGTAACATTCCTAAATCTATGAAGAAATTCCAGATAAAGACATCCCGTCCATCCCCCGTTGTGCGCATCTACCTAATCTCTCCTCTACTATCAGCACTATCCCGGCTGTGTATTAAAAGCTGTTCTATACTATTGATTCTCAACATTTCAAACACCACTGAACAAAACTGATTTCATTCAAAATCGGTACTTTAGTGACAATTGATGACACCTAAATAGCAGTAAAATAGCAATAAAATGTTAGAAAGAATAATTTAAAAATTCAAACTTGTCGATCAGCCACATCATATTCATTGCGTGCATTTGTGTATATTATGTGCATTGACTCTCTATGCTTTGCTGGAGTGTCTTTGTCTGATGTTTTGGTCCATAATGCAGGGTTGGGCGGTAAATACCGAAAAATACCGTCCGGTAAATAAGATGGGCGTCCGGTAAATATGTAAGAAACAAGAAATATGATTTTAATTCTCTATTTATTAATAATTTTACTTGTTTTTAGCCTCACCAACTGAAAATATTGTTCTGAAATAATTAGCAGCACAACACTCATAGTAGAAACGCAAACAGATTTATAAAATCCACACTGCTACATCTATCTATCTCAGTATCATCTCCCGATTCAGAGGTTGATTGCAACATCTCTCCAATTCACTCTATCTTCTGCCATTCTGGTGCACTCTTGCAGTTTTAGTCCACTCCAGTTCTTGACATCCTCTTCCCAGTTGATTCTGGGTAATAATAATAATAATAGTGGGTTCTTGTATAGCACTCATGTCGGTCAGATTTGACCCTCCTGGTGCTCCCAAACACATGGCATTTTGTTCATATGCTAATTAATAGGTATTCATGAATATGGTAATTAGCAACTGACTTAATGAAGAACATCATATCTAGATTAGGTGTATATTTGGGATCTTTTTTCCTGCATTTTTTCCAGCATTTCATAATAACAGACATAGATCTAGGTCTACTAGGTCCAAGACTAGACAACACACAAACAAACACACACACCCACACACTATTAGTACACACCAGAGTAACCATACTCACCACCATAACGTTATTAATATTATGTTCAAAATTGGACAATCCCGCTATGAACAAGTGAGTGGAAAAATGTATTTCCCGGTATTTCCCTGTAAAAAGCGGTAAATACCACTTAGATCTAGGTCTAGAACTAGCTACTTAACTCAGATCTAGGGTTATTTCCCGGCGTCCAGGAAATAAGCCTCAGATGTCGATGAGTCTGAAGCGGTAAATATGCCAACCTAGACCGAAAACTTCAGTCTCTCTAATCGTCGGTTGTTCCACTGAGACTATGTCTGGCTCCACTAGACCTCCGATTATAGAGACTGAAGTATGGCCTATCGGGACTGTACGGGACTGTACGGAACAAATGGTTCGGTTCGACCGGACCGCGATGAATGAGATATGCAACGAGATTTTCACTCTTTACATCCTCATAACTGCTGCAATTATAATAAAAATTTAAATTAACATATATATAGCTTATTTGACTTCTGTATCTGTATCTGTATGATTTGGTCAGCAAAATGTCCTTTCCAGACACATCCACGCTAACGTATTTGTAGACAGAGCACGCTGTGTGTGGGTTGACTCAAATCAAATTATTGGGAATGTTTAAGTAGATTGTTCTTAAAAGTGGTTAATGATGGGCTGTTTACTATGGAGGTTGGGAGGTTATTCCAGTCCTTGATGGTTGACACAAAAAAGGAATCCTAGTAGGCTCTAGCTTTGTGGCGAAGTTGTAGAACTTCTGGTTGTTCCCCCTGGTTTCTCTGGGATTCGGTTGTACATAGTCATACAAAGGAATGTCGACCAGTCCATTCTTCATTTTGTATAACATGCCGAGTCTCTGGTTTCTCCTTCTAGTTTGAAGCGATTCCCATCCTAGGCCTTTTAGCGCCTTGGTGACTGTGCCTTCTTCTCTACTGTAGTTGCTAGTACAGAATCTGGCTGCTTGTCGTTGGACACGTTCTAGGGACTTGATATTCTGCTTGGTAGAGGGATCCCAAGCTGACGATGCATACTCAAGAAGCGGTCTTACTAACGCCAGGTACGCAGTTGATTTCACCTTCTTGTTGCAACTCCACAAGTTCCTGCGGACTTCATTCTGTATTCTCTGGGCTTTCTTGGTAGCTGCCTGAGTATGAGTATTCCAGCTCAATGTATTCCATATGTGAACACCCAGGTATGGATGAGAAGGCACACTCTCGAGACTATGGTTACAAAAGTTATACTTGTGATGAGGGGGGTTTCTCTTACCAACGGTCATGGTACAGCACTTGGTTGGGTTGAAGTTCATCAGCCATGTGTCTTGCCAGCTTTCCAGTTGTCTAAGATCTTTCTGCAGTACGCTGGTATCTTGATCAGCTGATACGGCTGTATACAGCAGACAGTCGTCTGCGAACAATCTGGTTGTGCAGGCCATGTTGTTTGGTAGATCGTTAATGTACAACAAGAACCATAGTGGGCCGGTCACTGTACCCTGCGGTACGCCAGATGTAACAGATGCAGGTAGAGATGAATGACTATTGATGACAACTCGTTGTGTGCGGCCCATCAGAAAACTTCTCACCCAAGAAGTGATTTCTCCCTCAAGACCATAATATTGTAGTTTAGAGATTAGGCGACGATGAGGGACCTTGTCGAAAGCTTTTGTAAAATCAAGCACTGCCATGTCGACTAACTTATTTCTATCCAGTTCTTGGCTAATATCATTGATTGTGAGAATTAGCTGCGTTTCAGTAGATCTTTTAGCACGAAACCCATGTTGGAAGTCTGATAGTATATGTTGATTTTCTAGGTGTTTCATTACGTGGCTATGTATGATGTGTTCCATGACTTTACTCAATACTGATGTCAACGAGACAGGTCTGTAGTTTGCAGCACTCTTCCTGCTCCCCTTCTTGAAGATGGCGGCTACGTTGGCGTCTCTCCATTCTTGCGGTACTATTCCAGTGTTGATGGAAGATTGGAACAGGTCTTGCAAAGGTGCAGATAGCTGCTCAGCTCCGATCTTCAGGAACCACGGTGGAATGCCGTCCGGCCCTTGTGCTTTGTTGGTCTTCAGCGTGCTGAGTAGCTTTTCGACCCGTTTCCTAGTAATGTTGAGATGTCCAATCTTCTGGTAAGGGCTGTTGCCAAGGGACTGTGCTAATCCAGGAGGCTCGTTGGTGAAAACGCTCCGGAATTGTTCATTCAAAACGTTTGCCTTGTCTATGTCGTTGCTTACAGTCTTCTCCCCTTGCTGGAGATCTGCTACTCCCGAGTTTTCTTGTTTCAGTTGCTTAATGTAAGACCAAAACCTTTTTGGCTCTTCTAGAATTGCCGATTCAAGAGTGTCCCTAACATATAAAGAACGGGCTTCTTTAATGAGCTTGTGGGTGCTTTTCCTAAAGGCCTTGAACGATTCCCAGTCATCCGGCTTTCCTGCCCTAACTGCCTTGTTGTATAATCTCTGTTTCTTCTTAATCGTAAGATGTAGTGATCTATTGAACCATGGTAAGTTAAATCGGGTAGTGGAAAACTTGTGCGGGACATGTTTTTCCATTGTGTGTAGTATTGCACTTCTAATTTCTTCCCATTTGTCCTCTACACTTTTGTCTTGGTTCGTTTGGAAATAAGTATCTGTAAAGTCCTGAAGTGTCTCCTTGATACCCTGAGTATCTGCTTTACCCCTGAGGTAGATTTTCCTTCTTATCGGACGCTTCCTAGTAGGAGCTACTCTTAAGTCCACTATCACTGAGCTGTGGTCAGCAATGCCATCTGTAACAGATATCTTGTCCACTATTTCAGGGTTATTGGAGAAGATCAAGTCCAAGATGTTTTCTGTGTTTCCCTGAATTCTTGTAGGTTGGGTGACATGCTGAGTAAGTCCCAATTCTTCCACTAGAGTGACAAGCGTATCAGCGGCTCTGGTGCTGTATCCACTCCTGCTGGAGACAACATGATCATCCCACGAGATGTTGGGTAGATTAAAATCCCCTGTGAGGATGACATTGTGAGAATTGATCTTATTTCCTAACCTTGTAAAGGATTGCGCCAGGTGGTCGATTGCTTCACCATTGCTGTCATTCGGTGGACGGTAGAAGACTCCCACAAGCAAGGGTCTACAACCCTTTATTTTTGTTTCAGTCCATAATATTTCACAATCAGAGTTAAGTTCACTGCAGTGCGTTGTAATCAAATCCCCCTTCACTGCTTGGAAGACTCCACCTCCAGTCTTTAGCTGTTCACGATCTTTCCTGAAGATAGAGTGGTAGTCTGGGAAGATTTCACTGCTATTAACATCTGGGTCAAGCCACGATTCTGTTCCACAGATGAAGTCTGGTTTAACGGAGTCGATGAGCACTTCGATATCACCAGCTTTAGATCTTACACTCTGGCAATTAGTTAATATCAATTTAACTTTGTCTCTCTTCTTGGCATTACACTTTCTATTCTCTTTATTATGTCTCTTATTTCTGTTACTGTTGGGCTTGGGCTGCGATGCACCCACATCCTTCTGGCTTGCCGGCTGGGAGCAGACATCAGCATCAGCATCAGTATCAAGAGCATCAAAAGGGTTTTCAGTTGAGATTTCACCTTCGCTGAAGAATGAGTCTGAAAAGTTTAGTTCACTGCAGAGTGGGCAAACCCACGTACAATTGTTGGCCATAAGTGATGTGTACAACTGGTAATCTATATCACAGCAGGCTGTGTGTAACCATTTATCGCAGCTATCACACTGGACTGCGTGGTGATCCCTTAATACATTTCCATCGCACATACTACACGGGGCGCAACAATCAGAGCAATACCACTGTGCAGAGTTGGCTCTCAAGTTCGATAATTGCTTTTGTTTGACTCCAACACAACTAGGATGGAATAATAGTTGGCAATCAGAGCATGTAAGTTTGTTCTTGCCGATCACAAGTTTACTGCAAGAGCTGCAAGCCTTCGCTGAGCTCTTCTTTCTGTTGGAAGGTCGAGCTGGTCCAGGGTTGGGTTGTACATCCCCAGCACACATGATTAACCCCAAAATAATAGTTCTAGGTTGGGAACAGCTTAGATCTCTTTGACTAGTCTGGTTATACATGGTAACAACATGATCCAGGAATTTGTTTCTGTTTGATAATCTTGAGTTCCAAATAGGATCAAATACATATCTTGCTGCTAATGCAGTGGTATCCCTTCTCGGCATGCAGAAGGCATAATTGCATACAGCATGGTGGCTAATGATTGTCAATTTAGGTCTACTTACAGTCTGTAATCCCTTCTCCCCAGCATGAATATCTGTCAGACCTACCAATAACTTGGCAGTCACAAAGATGAGCACGGCCTTGTTGAGGTTGAAGCGGCGTCGTTCGGTCCCCATGACGTACACGTAAGCAATACAAAATGGCGGCAGAAATCCAAGATGGCGGAGTCCGCGAAAATTTAAAAAGTTAAAACTACACAAATAAACTCAAAGCAAACACGATTACAAAACTGCAGATAATCAGTCTAAACGATTTATTGCACTCCAGATAAAAAACGCTATCATAAAATCCATATCATTGTCATTGAAGCTTGCACATGTAGATATAATGTCGAAATGTCTCGTAGAAAAGGTTGCGGTGGTAGAGTAGATCTCCGTAGTATACGCTATTGCACTGTAGTATCGCGTAGGTGATCCACTGTGACTCGCGAGCTCGATGCTGGCTACAAATTGCAGGTAAAAATCCTACAAAAATATAAGTCTAAAATTCGAAATAATCACACAACTTAGGTTTTTAATATTAAAAGAGCATATATTGCTCGGTTAAAAAGCAGGATGGCAGTTTAAAAAGGCAAAATTTTAGCGATTTTGTTCAGAAGCTACGAGCAAAAGTTTTTTTAGCGTCTATCCACACACACTTACGATAGCTTGCTCATTTAGATCCTAAATTAATGATTAATCCGAGAAAGTCTCGTCGTCAACATTATCCGTCTTGGTTTTAGTTGATGAATATTCATTTTTTCTTTTCGAACGTCCAATAGCTAACGTAGCTACGTACAAGTCAGCCTGGCTTGACCAACAAACTCCCACGAAACGAGTGCTCTGATTGGCCATTGGCTATGTTTTGGTAGGTTGAACCATAAATATATCGGCCGCCGGGTAATAGTTTGAATGCATGAACGTACTGCTTCGCGGTTCTGAGATAAAATTGGATAACTCATAAAAAGTAAGTCCGTAAATTTCACATTCTATAATAGACCCTAGGTTAGCAAATTTTGAAAACTGTAATTAGGAGGTATATATACCGACCTAATTTACATCTGATTTAGAAATCAGAAAATAAGATCTAAATAAAGAAAATCGGGGAGAAAATGTTTTGAACGAAAAGATGTACATCGGTGGCTCTAGCCACCCCCACGGTACGAGATCCCTGGGTTACCGTCTGTATTTGGGAATGTCAACAAATCAAATGTCAGTTTTATAAAAGAAATGACCAAATCAGACGGTTATTTCTGTCTAATGCCAACCCTGCCATAATGAGCACGGCATGACTGTTGTTTATTGTTTTCACACAAATATCACAGTCCCACTGTGAAAAAGAGCTATCCCCGTCGTTTTATATACTAGGCCTATCACTCAGTATCCGATATCACCACCGGGCTCCGCTGGCCTAGCTACCGCCTGAGTACGGGGCCTAGCTTGCCTTGCATTTGGCTTTGGCTTAGCCAGCCTTGGAAACGGTGAGTAGCCTAATCATCGATTACCTGAACACTATAATATGAACTAGATCTGTCTTGAAATCATTTCGGCATATTAAATATTTTAAAAACTTGATTCGTATTACTTGGAAAGGCGTAAATGACGTCGAATACTCACTAGTTCTTCGGTTGGCAAGTGAAGCTACATTTTACTGAGAAAAATGTGATTAGCCAATTTGATGATGTACGTACAGATCGCATTTTACAATGCAGGGGCACGGGAAACATAAAACTCTCTCGTTTGCCTTGATTCAACGAAAATTATTTATCAAATAGCACTGACCATCATGAATATTTGTCTGCAATAATATTGTCCAACATAAGATTTATGAAATATTTATCATATATTTATACTCAGTCTTCAAATTGCTATTTTGCAACTGTACATCCGGACGCGTTATTTTTTTTATGCGGCACAGATTGGGGCTTTTTTTTAAAAAGGGGTCTTGATTTGTTGTTGTTGTTGTTGTGTTTTGAGTTATTGGCGATTAGTCAGTAATTTGACTATTGTCGCCAAAATACTTTACGGCACGTGTTATATCTCTCAATTTTGTATTTCAAAAAAAATATATTTATTTCGTTTTATATTTATCTATCTTTTAAGATAGTATCGAAAAATAATATCGTAAGCAAAACATTCATGGGCTTTGTTAGTGTTTCTTAACAGTACGTGCAGATTATTTGTTATATCACATATACGCACCATACATAAATATGTATAGATAGCACCTACACAAGCCTCTATATTCAGTAATCTTATCATACCTTTTATCATTGTTGTTACTTTTTCTTATTTTATTTTCTTACTTTACGTTATTATATTTTTAATGTACTGAGTGTAATTTAGCATATTATAATATTGTATAATGTTTTACTGTTCTTATTGTATTTTCTTATTACATTATGTTATTATATTTTTAATGTACTGAGTGTAATTTAGCATATTTATAATATTGTATTATATTTTACTGTTCAGCAAGGGAGGTATTACTTCCTGATAGGGAACCGTTTCGTTCTGACAAAGAACCGTACAATAGCTTTTTGTATACTGGACTCACTCTTTTTTAAGTATTCCATAATTTTTTCCGGTTGGGATTCGTTAATTTCTGCTAAAAACATAGCCCTTTCTAATAATATAGTTAGGGCAATGTACTAAAAAGTGTTTTACAGTCTCTATTTTTTATTTACAGACTAATGATGGTCGTGCATGTGCGTACTAGTAGTAGAGGTCTATTTTTAATAGTGTTACATGTAATCCACTAGTAAGGGGGGGGGGGGGGTGTGGGGGTGCGACACCCCCCTCACCTGTCAGGATATTGTCGGTAAAATTGCGCTGCCGTCGGGAAAAAGAGAAAAGGGGGAGGGAAAAAAAGAGAGGGAAAAAAGGAGAGGGGAAGGGAAAGAAAAGAAAAAAGAAAAGGAAAAGAAAAGAAAGAAAGGAAAAGAAAGGAAAGAAAGGAAAAGAAAGGAAAGAAAAGAGAAGAAAGAAAGAGGAAAAAGAAAAAGAGGGGGGAGAGGAAAGAAAGGAAAAGAAAGAAAAGAAAGAAAAGGAAAAAAAGAAGAAAAAAGAGTGAAAGGGAAACAAAAGAAACGGGGGATGAAAGAGAGGAGAGAGAGGGGAGGTTAGAGTCTGAGAGAGGAGGAGTGGGAGTAAAAGAGAAAAGGGGTTGTTGGGTGGAGTCTTCTCGTCGAGGGAGCAAGAAAGACACGGGTAAATATGTTGCTGTGTCGGGCCAGCTGTGTCGGTATTCTTGCTCGATCCTCATCAATGCATAAGTTTGAAGTCGGTGAGATGTACTATATTGTCGGTCGGCCGACAAGTTTTTTTCCCTACGAACTGCGACTTCTTATCCGCTGTGACGACTTCGAGAGTGACTACAACTACAATACTTCTATTTTCTCGAAGTTTCACTTTCCTTTAATATCAGCTAAAGAAATCAGAGGTTTAAAATTTTCGGGGAAACTAAATTCAAACAAGGTTTAAGAGTCAACAACGGTACGACGAATCATTTTCCTTTCTTTATATTATGATGAAACGCCAAAAATTCCGCGCTTCGCGCGGAAGGGGAAACTTCATTTAGACGAATCGAGAACGGTACAACGAATCGTCTTCTTTCTCTAATAATTTAAGGAAACGTCAAAGCTTCCGCGCTTCGCGGGAAAGTGGGAAACTGAATTCAGACAAATAGGGCTTACTAAAAGTCGAAAACGTTACAACGAATCGTGTTCTTTCTCTAATAATTTGAGGAAACGTCAAAGCTTTCGCGCTTTGCGCGAGAGGGGGAAACTGAATTCAGATGAATAGGGCTTAATAATAATAAGATTCGAAAACGGTATGAGGAATCGTCTTCCTTTCTCTATATTGTAATGAAACGCCAAAAATTTCGCGCTTCGCGCGGAAGGGGAAAACTTCATTTAGACGAGTCGAGAACAGTACGACGAATCGTCTTTTTTCTCTAATAATTTAAGGAAACGTCAAAGCTTCCGCGCTTCGCGCGAGAGGGGGAAACTGAATTCAGTCAAAATTAATAGGGCTCATTTAGAGTCGAAAACGGTACAACGAATCGTGTTCTTTCTCTAATAATTTGAGGAAACATCTAAGCTTTCGCGCTTCGCGCGAGAGGGGTAAACTGAATTCAGATGAATAGCTAGGGCTTAATAAGATTCGAAAACGGTACGAGGAATCGTCTTGCTCCGATTGTCTCATTTCCGCTCGCGTGAACATTGCCAGCATAAAACACTGACCTCTACCTCCTGGACGGATCATTGCCCATTCCCATTCACTATACGTTACGTACTAAAAGGCTGTATTGTCTGACCGTTCATGAATATTCATGTTTTTGCTAAACTCGGCAAAATGTTTGCTTTTACTAAATGGAAAAATTACGGTGGGGGGTTGGATGAAATGGACATAATGAAATAGGCAGAAGTGATCTATGATAATTCATGCTTTTTATGTTTCGTGTGCTCGACCTATAATCTTCAAATCGTTTGGCAAACTGCTGAGTCCAAAGTTAGACTTGTTTCACATGTGTATTATAGGCAATGACGAGCTTGCAACCTATTTTGAAAAATTACGGTGGGTGAACTTTCAAAAGTCAATGAGACATGAGGGCTCCAATGAAAGAACTAGTGACACTGGCGTACCTGAGGGGGGGGGGGGGGCAAGGGGGGCAGAGTGCCCCCCCCCCTGACGAGCTCCAGGGGAAAAAAGGAAAAGTGGGAAGGGGAAAGGAATAAAAAGGGGAAAGAGAAAAAAAAGGGGAAAGAAAAGAAAAGAAAGGAAAGGAAAGAAAAAGAAAAAATGAAAAGGGAAAAAAAGGAAGAAGAAGAAGAGAAAAGGAAGAAAGAGGGGGAAAGGAAAGAAAAATGGGGAAATTATTTTTAAAAAGACCTTGGCCGTACGCACCGGAGGTGGGGGGGGGGGCCGGGGAGGCAGTTGACCCCAGATACTTTGAAAACGTACAATTTTTTTCCTGAAAATGTTTAACAAAGCTCACAAGTAGTGAAGGCCTATACCAAATCCTTCAATTCTACTTTTGAAAATGCAAAAGTACCCTCACGACAAGTTTGGTCGCTCGAACTCCCTTCACTCCTTTTGCTTTTGAGTTTCTTCAAAAACTTTTCATGCACCTTTTCCCCTCCCCCATCAGAAAAATATTCAGCATACATACGGCAAAGAAAAAGAGAAATGAAAATAGGAAAATAACAAATTCGACACTCTTTGCTGGCGCGAGCTGCTTGCTAGCCTGTTTTGTATTAATTGTTTTCACTTGCTCGTCTCCCTGAAAAAAAGAAAAGGATTAGCATTGCCTAACATACAATTGTGTCTGCCCCGACTGGCCCAACCTGTAACCATGGCAACCATAACACCCAATTTATGTACCAAATGTTACTAAAAGAGACTAATTCATTTTTTCTCGCTCGCTACGCTCGCTCGCGAATAAATGAAATAGACATTGCTTTGAAAACAATTGTGCCCACCCTTGACCTGCAACAATATCATTAAAAATGGAAGTGTTTTTTCGCCCTCGCCAAAAAGGAATTGATATCGTGTTAAACGCGATTGCGCCCATCCCGACCTGCACCAATAAAAACAAGTTTATGTATTAATTTCTATTAAAAGAGAATTAATTTTTTCTGCATCGCTATGCTCGCTCACCAAAATGGAATTGACATTTCTAACAAAATATGTGTGCCCCCTTGCCTGCAACGAAAATCCCAGTAAATAAGTACCGAACGCTATTTTGAGAGATATTGTCTCCTCGCTCGCCAGAATTGATGAATTGATTGATTTTAGTGATTGATATAATTATGAGTTGATTTGTTTTTTTGTTTTACCCTCTCTTGCTACGCTGTCTTTACAATTAACCTACAACAAATTACCTGTTGATAATTATGTACCAGACGTTAATCAAAGAAAATTTGGTTTGCTCACTAGCTATACGCTCCCTCGCCAATATGGAATAAAAATCACCTAAAACATAATTGTGTAAGCCCCGACCTGCAACAAAAAACCTGAAAATTATGCACCAATCATCATTAATTTTGTTTTGCCTGCCCACCAAAATGGGATTGACATTGGCTTGAACACGATTGTACCCACCCCCGACCTGCAACAACGAAACAAAGTTTATGTTCCAATTCATTGAGGAAAATTGAACCAAGTTTAATTGGTAATTATTTTTTATAATTTTTTTTTAATTTTTTTTTTTAAAGTTTTTTTTTCTTGATCGCTACGCTCGCTCGCCAAAATGAAATTTACATCGCCAACGTGCCTGCCCTAACCTGCAACAACTAGTTAATAATTATGTACCAAACATTATTCAAAGAGGTTTTGGTGTGCTCGCTCGCCAAAACGGAATTAACATCACCTTAGACATGATTGTGTAAGCCCTGACCTGTAACAAAAAAACCTGAAATTTATGAACCAATTATCATTACAAAAAATGTTCTCGCTCGCTACGCTCGCTCGCCAAAATAGAAATAACATCGCTTTGAATAATCACGTCCCTGACATGGATCAATGAAATCAAGTTTATGTACCATGTTCTCACCGTAGAGAAGTGATCATTAAAAAAAGAAATGTAGGGGGGGTTGCGTGCCCGCCAAAATGGGATTGAAATTGCCTTAAACACGATTGTGCCCGCCCCGAATTGCAACAATGAAACAAGTTTTATATACATGTAGCAATTCATTAAGAGAAAAGTGTATTTTCGCTCGCTAGCTAAAATGGATATAAAATCACCCTAAACACAATATTGTTCCCGCACCCGGCATGGGACAATTGGACCAAGTTTAAGTGACAATTATTAAACAAAAAGGGATTTTTTTTTCTTGCTCGCTACGCTCGCTTGCAAAAATGAAATTAATGTGGCCAACAAATGATGTGCCCACCCCAGACTTGCAACAATACCGGTTTATATACCAAACGTTACTTAAATACACTGTTGCTCATAAAGGTGGAATATTTTTTTTTTATCCCAATTCATGGAATTATTTTAAAAATTATTTAAAAATAATAGATCTAGATAATAGTACACATTCTCAGATTTTATTGAATAATAATTTAACAATGTGTGTTTTGCGTGACTGCTAAAGCATGTGTATGCTACTATGCTTATCAAATAGGGGACCTACGCCCTTTAGTCATAAATGACAGTAATGAGGATTAATGCCCCACAAAAAGGCACTAATATAGCAAATCGACACGGTTTTGATCCTGGGGCCTCACAGTTACGAGGCCTTTGCTTTGTCACTGAACCATGACTGTACGCAGCGGGGGCTAGTGTAGGGCGGCAGTTTCCATGAATTAAAAAAACACAGAAAATTCAATAAATTTTCAATAATTCATTGCATTTTACCCCGGTTCCCAACATAAACAAATCCTCTGTGTGCCCATGCCTTGAGCCATAATGCATTACTCTACAGAGGATTTTTTATGTTGGGGACCGGGGTAAAATGCATTAAATTATTGAAAATTTATTGCATTTTCTGTTTTTTTCTTCAATTTATGGAAACTGCCCCCCTACCCTAGCCCCCGCTGTGTACAGTCATGGTTCAGTGACAAAACAATGGCCTTGTAACTGTGAGGCCCAAGGATCAAAACCGTGTCGATGTGCTATATTAGTGCCCTTTTGTGGGGCATTAATCCTCATTACTGTCATTTATGACTTAAGAGCGTAGGTCCCCTAGTTGATAAGCATATTAGCATACACATACTTTAGCAGTCACGTTAACCACACATTGACAAATTATTATTCAATAAAATCTGAGAATGTATACTATTATCTAGATCTATTATTTTTAATTTTTTTTTTTAATAATTCCATAAATTTGGGTAAACCAAAATATTCCAACTTTATGAGCGACAGTGTATATATATTTTTTCCCGCTCACTCGCCAGAAGTGAAAATTAGCATCCCTTTTTTTGTTTTGTTTCGATCGCTTGCCCCCCTCCCCCTCCCCCCTGACGGAGTACCCCAGGTACGCCACTGGCTAGTGATAACGTACGTCGGGGTGGATGTGCTTTTCGTTTAAACAAAAAATGAATTTTTAACGATTTTTTAAAAAAACGTCCATAGGCTAACATGTTAGGCTGCTGACTCGGACCATGCTCTGACGATAGGGGGCGTTGTGAAATGAGACTAAACGGAGCAATATGTCAACATTTGTTCTGCTTTAAGTGCCAAAAAAATAGCAGGAAACTGAATAGTGATTAAATTTTGAAAACGAAAAAATACGTTAACATGTTAAGTGCAAAAAATAGCAGGAAAATAGTCATTAACTTTTAAAGACAAAATAATAGTATAAAATAAGTAAACATATGTTATGTAAGTGTAAAAAATAGCAGTAAAATAGTGATTAACTTTTAAAAGACAAAAAAATAGTACAAAAATAGGTTAACATGTTATGATAAGTGCAAAAAAATAGCAGGAAATAAAGTAGTCAAAACATCTAAAAGAAGAAAAAGTAGTTTAAAAATAGTGCATAAAAAAGAGACACAATTGGAGAAAATAGTGAAAAAATAGAAATAGCTAGAAAATAGTCAAAAAATAGCCACCTCGTTGGGGAAAATGGAAAAAATATATAACAAAATATAGTGTAGTTTTTTTTTTACTATTATTTAAGAAAATAGCCAAAAACTACATGATCAAGAAATCAAGAAATAGCGAAAAAATATATGAAAAATAGTGAAAAAATATTTTTTTCTGCTGGTCAAAATGACTGGGGAACTAACAACAACTTGTTCTATTATGTGAAGCTACATTACAATCTGCGGTAGCAATAATCATGGGCATATGATATAGGTCATTTGTTGAACATGTAGATATAAAATGATATCATATCAGAGGGGGGGGGGAAACGTTCCAGGGGCAGTAGCGTAATGAGCAAAAACGTTTGGAAGCCCCGGTAGGGAGTCAAGGGGGTGAGCCATCGGAAGCTCGGGGTTTTATGGTATTTAATTACGGTTAGATGAGCATCCAGGGGCCCTCTTTAGGCCATTGATGTAGTCCAGGGGGCAGAGCCCCCGGAAGCTCAGGGGTTTTAGGAATTCAATAATTACGGTCAGGTGAGCATCCAGGGGCCCGACTTAGGGCCCGGTTCAGGGGGCAGAGCCCCCGGAAATTCAGGGGTATTAGATATTTAATTATGGTCAGATAGGCATCCAGGGGCCCGCTTTAGGGTCCTTGGTGGGGACCGGGGCGGAGCCCCCGTAAGCTCTGGGGCTTTAGGCATGTAATTACGGTCAGATGAGCATATTTTGATACCTCATTTGTGACAATGGCAGGTCATTTATTTTTTCTCTTTCTCTTTCTTTCTTTTTCTCTGTAACCGGGGGGGGGGGGGGGGGGAGGGGGGCTCGAGCTCAATTGTTTCTGCAGGCCCCGATATGAAAGCTTCTAAATAAGTATATTTTTCGCCCGACTGTAAATTTGGGAATTTCTAATTTTCCAACAAACATAAAAAAAGGTATGACTTACACAAAAATTGAGAAAAAATACCGGAAAATGATGTCATTTCAGCAACATTCGTAAATCACTGGTATCGAATAAGAAATACCCCCCCCCCCCAATCATTGCGCCAGCGTTCAGGGACTCATGTCTTCTCACCCCTATAACAAAAGTTACACACGCTTTCCCATCCTCTCACAATATTTCTACGATATATGCGCGTATAATATCGTTTAGGAGATTGCATGAATTCCTGTTAAATTTCCTTTTCTTTGAATGTGATTTAAATCAGGTTTTCATTATTGTTATGTTCATTGTGTTGAAAATATAAACCATCTTTACTCCTTTACTGCTTTCCTTCTTTTTTTTGGTGGCAGCAAATGTGTAGTGAAAGCGAGCTCGATCAAATTCTTCGGGACGATTTACTCAGATGAAGGAATCAGTCCCGATCCCTGCAAGGTGGAAGATATCCACACAAACATGCCTACCCCCACAGGATAAGGAGGACCTTCAGAGGTTTCTAGGCATGATGAACTTCCTGTCACCCTACATCCCGAACTATGCAGACCAAGTTGCTATTTTGCGTGATCTCATGAAGAAAGATGTCCCATTCATCATGTGGCAAGAGGATCACCAGGAGGCATACTGCCAGCTGAAGAAAGCTATCCAGCAAGACAGCTAGCTTGCTGAATTTAGTACTACGATCCAGGGCTACCTAGCTGTCACCCTTGAAGTAGACGCGTCATCCAAAGGATTGGGAGCATATGCCTCTCACACCATGGAAGGCCTGTGCCATATGCCTCGAAAAGTCTCTCTCCCTGCCAAGCCCAGTACTCAAATATTGAGAGGGAGACACTGGCACTTGTCTTCGGGATTACCCGATTTCACACTTACCTCTTTGGGAGAGACTTCAATTACTAACTGACCACAAACCGCTTGTGACGATATGCAGCAAGCCACTCACAAGTGCCCCGCTCAGGCTACAAAGGCGCTTAGTGAAGATTCAATGATACAACTTCACAATTGAACACAGACCAGGAACAGAGATGATTATTCCTGACACGCTCAGTAGACTGCCAAATCCGACGAAGGCAGAAGACATTCCGCTGGATGTCCACGTAGAAACTACTGGATGAGGTTGAGGACCCATTGGGTATCGATCTGCTCCATTTCGGGAGCCTCAAGCAAGAAGCACTACAGAAGGAGACTAACAGGGATCCTATTCTACAGCAAGTGTGTGGCTGCCTTCATAAATCTTTATATGAAGGAGTTTCGTCTAACAATAAATCCAACTGTTGTTATTCACAAGGCACACCGATGAAAATTAACACTGGAAACAAGTTGCTAAAGTCCAACCAACTTCTGTTTTATTCAGCAACTCGTAACTTCACTTTCATATCTTCGGTAAAACCTTCAGGTTAATTACTATCTCCGGTAAACCTTCAGATAACAATCTGTAATGATAATAAACAAACAAACAAATAATGAATAAATGTTTCAGCATGTTAGCATATGAAAACCCTATAGCTAAATTAAAGATACTGATTACTACACATTAATATATGACACAAGATTAAAGTTAAACTGGATTAAATATCTATGTGAACACACCCTGCATTGAAACTATGAAGTAAACTATTAAACAGTACACACAAGCAAACGTACATGAGTGTGAACAGGGCCGCATTCAGACGCGGTTCGTCACTTAAGTTCCTATGCTAAATAACTAACAAAGAAATTGTTTCTTTCCTAAACACTTAGTTTTGCTCTAAATTCGACATGAACTATATATATAATAAACAAGTTATCATCTACATAGTAGCAGAATCTTTGCTACTTTGAAACACTTAAATGTACTGTAACTTCTGCTGACGAAGACAAAGAACTCGGCTTTCTACACTATACATAATACACACTCATCTCTTTGTCTACTCCTAAAAGCTAGGTACAACATCTAACATCATCTTTCCGAAACTCCTATAAAATTCTACCAAACTCAACTGAGATTATATTAAGATACATCCTAGCATTCTAGTATATATCAAATAACATATATAGAAATAGATATCGTATTCTTACCGAATTGGGCCTGTAGTTTGTTCCACAAAATAACTAAAAACTTTCTGCTGCAATGTTATGTAATTCGGACCTTACTGCATCACTTCGACATTCAGAATGACTGGAGTTTGCTTCTCCCAGAACATAGGTTGAGAAGAACAAAGAACTTCCTGTCTCTGTGACTCGTATAATCTTAAAGTAAACAATAGCCTCCAAGATATGCTGGTAGGCATATTAAGACGCTGGTAGTCTCATAATAAGACTCTTCAAACTATATAAGAAATGCACATTTCTTCACTACATCCTGATGTAGTGACAAAGTGAAAGAATTCACTCATGCTGGTTGGCCTGCAACTATTCAGGAACTTCCAAACGATTTGCGCCCATTCTGGCCATTTCGTGATGAACTAGGCATGTCTGGAGGTGTCCCCTTCAAAGGCAGGCAGGTGATCATTCCCCAATCTATGAGACAAGATATCCTTCAGCAACTGCACAAAGGCCATCCGGGCATCGAGAAGATGAGACTCCTAGCGCGCCAGTCGGTTTACTGGCCAAACATAAATCGCCAGATTGACGAAAGTGTCAGACTGTGCAACCAATGCCAGGAAAGGATGCCCGAGCAGAGAAGGGAACCACTCCTTCATCATGAAATCCCTATCACACCTTGGACCAAAGTAGGCATGGACCTGTTTGAGTTGAATATGGTTCAGTATCTTCTTATAGTTGATTATCACTCGAAATTCCCAGTCGTACATCGGTTGACTTCCACAACGAGTGCAAGTGTGGCGAATGCTGTAACTGGCATATTTGGCCTTCTGGGATCTCCTACAGAGATTATGTCAGACAATGGCCCACAATTCATCGGTGCCGCTTTTCAGCAAATGTGCAAGGACTGGGGAATTACGCATCAGACCTCCTCACCAAGGTACCCCCAATCAAACGGACAAATAGAGCGTACGCTCCGAACAGTGACTAAGAGATCATACGGAAAACACAGGCAACTGGAGTACAGCAGCAGCTCTACTAAACCTACGATGTACTCCAGTGGATGCCCATCTTCCATCCCCAGCCGAAATGTTCGGCCGCCAAGTCCGAACACTACTTCCTGCTAACCTTGATTCGAATACAACATATCAAGGACAAAAGAACCAGGAACGTTTGGAGCAGCGCAGGGGACGCATGAAGACGGACTACGATGCGGTTGGAAGCAAGCAATTAGAGCTCCGCACTCAGAGTAGGACAGAAAGTCCGCTTCCTGGACAAAGAATCCCACACTTGGATTCCAGCTGAGGTGACAGACTTATGTAATGATCTATAGGCCAGGTCGTACATAGTCACAACCCCTAATGGCACGCGACTCAGAAGGAATGGAGATGTCCAACAGATGGTAACCCGACACATGCTCCGTCGACGATTGCTCCGCCGACATTTACTCCGCAAAACGCGACAATTGCTCCGCGACATTTGCTCCGCGACATTTGCTCCGACGTCAAATGCTCCGCCGACAGGTGCTCCGCCTACAGTTGCTCCGCCGACAGTTGCTCCGCCGACAATTGCTCCGCCGACAGATGCTCCGCCGACAATTGCTCCGCCGACAATTGCTCCGCCGACAATTGCTCCGCCGTCAATTGCTCCGCAAAACGCGACAATTGCTCCGCCGACATTTGCTCCGCCGACATTTGCTCCGCCTGAAGCGACACTTGCTCCGCCGACATTTGCTCCGCCTGAAGCGACAATTGCTCCGCCGACATTTGCTCCGCCGACAATTGCTCCGCCGACAATTGCTCCGCCTGAAACGACAATTGCTCCGCCGACAATTGCTCCGCCTGAAACGACAATTGCTCCGCCGACATTTGCTCCGCCGACATTTGCTCCACCGACATTTGCTCCGCCGACAATTGCTCCGCCGACAATTGCTCCGCCTGAAGCGACAATTGCTCCGCCGACATTTGCTCCGACGACATTTGCTCCGCCCAAAAAGTGTCCCATAAACTACAAATGCTACTAGTACTACGACAAATGCTTCGCCGACAATATTTTCTTTACACCTATTTTTTTCGTTTCTTTTTTTCTTCTTCATTTTCTGAATGCATTTCTTGAAATAATGTAGATGAAATGAAATGAATGAATGTTGATGAAGTGGGAGGAAAAAGGAGTTACCTAAAAGTCATTTCGAATATACTGAAATAACTTTCCATCTATCACTGTACGTCCCATATAATGTATACTAAACACTCATTACATGTCGTGGGAAGTTTTAAAAAAAAAGTAGAGCAGCAAGCCACATTCCCCAATACGCGCATACCTCCTAGTTAATTTCAAGTAGCTCATCAATATGTAATACCTGAAATTACCTCGATCAATGCATCTTACTAGGTAAAGCATTATACAATGTAATAGGTCATCATGGAAGTTTAGAAAATAAGTAAGGGGGATTTACCAAGTGTTGATCTTTTTAAGAGTTTTATAAAGAAACAAAAAGATATTGAATATTTCTCAGCGAAAAAAAGGAACAAGCTTGTTTCGCATTTTAAGAAATGGCGATTTGACTTATGATACTCATGTTGATTTAACTTTTATTCCTGTGCCCCCTCACTCCCCTTTATGCACTGGAGTTCAAACTATGATTTATATGTGTACAGTGTATTTTTTTTTACTATAATGTTTTTTTTTTATAACTTTCTTGTCCTTTCATTATTGTTAGTTGTTCTTATACATATTGGTTTTTTTGTTTGTCTAATTATTACCAATGACTTGTAAATATGTAATTTTTATATGATTGAAAATTTAATAAACACACAAATATAAAAAAAAAGTTTAGAAAATAAGGGCACTTATATACGTAAGGAAGAGAACCCATTCAGACGGGAAAATGAGATGGCAGCCTTTCTGCTTATTCACATTTATACAAATCATTTTGTTGCAGTTTGATGTTAGTTCTTCATGATAAGCCAATTGCTCTTCTTCCGGTGGCTTCGTGAGTCCCTTAAATTATTTAGTGAAAACAAAGTACTCGAATGAAACGGAGTGTTTTGCACACTAACATATATATATATTAAAGCTACATACACTTAACTAAAGGAAAGAAACCTTTAGAAAATGGACTGGATATTATTGAAAATATTATTCTAAACAAGAATGTACTACATGATTGTATTACTTTACGTTTCAATTTCACGAGAGAAATAGAACTCGAGAGGGGGAGCAGAGAAGAAGTGATGGAAATGAAAGAAGACTAATAGCATGAGAGGAAAGAAAAGAGCAAAGAAGACAAGAAAACGGTGTAAACAGGAAAAGGAGGAGCATGGGAGAGAGAGAAAGAGAGAGAGAGAGAGAGAGAGAGAGATAGCCTTGAGCTTTGGATCAGCTAATGAGTAATACATGAAACAGATTTTGAGCGGAGTAATTATCTTTCGCCGGAGAACTTGCGTAAGGAGCTATAATTTCATTTTTTATTTTTTTAAATCAAACATTATGGGGAATAGCAAAAAACGGTTGTCTTTCTTGCTCTTTTCTTTCCTCTCATGTTATTAGTCTTCTTTCATTGAGGTAATTTCAGGTCTTACATATTGATGAGCTGTTTGAAATTAACTAGGAGCTATGCGCGTATTGGGGAATGTGGCTTGCTGCTCTACTTAAAAAAAAAAAAAACTTCCCATGACATGTAATGAGTGTTTAGTGTACATTATGTGGGACGTACAGTGATAGATGGAAAGTTATTTCAGTATATTCGAAATTACTTTTAGGCAACTGCTTTTTCCTCCCACATTATCAACATTCATTCATTTCATTTCATTTACATAATGTCATGAAATGCATTCAAAAAATGAAGAAAAAAAGAAAGAAACAAAAACAACCCGTGAAAAAAAAATATTGTCGGCGAAGCATTTGTCGTAGTACTAGTAGCATTTGTATTTAATAGGACACTTTTTGGGCGGAGCAAATGTCGTCGGAGCAAATGTCACCGGAGCAAGTGTCGCTTCATGCGGAGCAAATGTCGTCGGAGCAATTGTCGGCGGAGCAAATGTCACCGGAGCAATTGTCGCTTCAGGCGGAGCAATTGTCGGCGGAGCAATTGTCGACGGAGCAATTGTCGGCGGAGCAAATGTCGTCGGAGCAATTGTCGGCGGAGCATATGTCACCGGAGCAATTGTCGCTTCAGGCGGAGCAATTGTCGGTGGAGCAATTGACGGCGGAGCATCTGTCGGCGGAGCAATTGTCGGCGGAGCATTTGTCGGCGGAGCAACTGTCGGCGGAGCACCTGTCGGCGGAGCATTTGACGTCGGAGCAAATGTCGCGGAGCAAATGTCGCGGAGCAATTGTCGCGTTTTGCGGAGTAAATGTCGGCGGAGCAATCGTCGGCGGAGCATGTGTCATGGAACCCCAACAGATGCCTCGTCTGGCAGAGCCAACTAAAGATGCGCGCCTAGCTAGCACACCTACCCCAATGAACAAAAGAATTGCAGACGGACTTGACCAAGACCAGTCACTAGACCACCAGACAGGATCCGAGACAGACCCTTACAGAACACGTTCTGGACGCATTAGCAATAAACCTGTCCGTTATCGTTAAACACTACCAAAAACAATTTGAAAGAAGAATTAAAACACAAAAATTGACAGACTATATAGATTGAACAAAGGTTCCAGTTTATAGTTAGAATCTCACATAAAGACACTTCATCTATATTGGATAATAACCGAGATTTAATTTTTTTTTAAACTAATTCATAGCAACAACAAAAACAACAAAAAAAAAAAAACAAAAAAAAGAAGAGAGAAATAGCATACAATAAATAGAATGGCATGCAATGATGCTAATGTAAAGAAATGTGCCTAAGGGTATATTTATGTTGGATAATCAAGCAACATAACTTTCTTGAATACAGTGTTTTGTGTTGAGTTTTTATAAATGTTTTAAGAATATGAGAACAAAGTTGAATATATGTTCTAAAGTTTCCATAAAGTTGTTCAGTAGCTCTGCCCAGCAAAGTTTTTTGTATGAGCAAATTTGAAACAATGTTTTGCTTAAAAACTAGTATTACAGTATTTTGGTTGTAAATATAATTATGTAAGTACAATTTACTTCTAAAATGGCCAAGTTTGGATAAGCGAATAAGAAGTTGGAAATGTCAATATAGAAAAGAAAAAAAAAATTGTAGGCTATAGGCATGTGTTTGCTGATGTATATGAAACCACATAGTTTTATTTCTATCATCTGGTTTTAGGTATTCCACGTATTAGTTTTTCAAAAAAAGGACTATTCTATGGAACTAAAGTAAGGTTGCGAATTTGGGTTCTTGTGAATCATAAACATATTCCTTAATTGTTACTTGGCATTTAGTCAGGCATATGTTAAAGTATTTTTAAGGTATTGATATTTGCAAAATGTTTGCTTGTAGGTGTTTGGAGTTTCAAGAGGTTTTATGATTAACTGTTATAACTTTTCTTGGTTATTCATTAAAACAAAAACAATCTATTTGTGAGGGAGATGTTGTATATCCACTTGGAACTATACATTAACATGAGATATGATATGTAAATACCACGCCGAGCTATGCGGAAGGATACATAAATAAAGGTCTTACAATATGGCTACTAATCAGTAACTACATCGTCTGCCAGACTCTATCATTTCACCGAGTCATATGACATATTACAACAGGGGGGGGGGGGCGTTTTTTTTTTTTTGGGGGGGGGGGGCAAAAATGCGTTTTGCCCCCCCCCCTTTTTTTTTGGTTGGGGGGGGGGGCAAGTGCCCTCCCCCTGCCACCCCACTTCCGGCGCCTATGCATAGCTATACCTATATTTAACTCTATGCCTAATAATTATGATGCCTGACTCAGTTCCTTGTCGTTATTGAGTTGCTTGCATTGGTACTTTTGATAAACATCTATTTTAAGATATGACGTATTTACCGTAACCCCGGAAGTACACTTTACACAGGTTATCGTACAGCAGAGAAAGAAAGGTAGGACCAATTTTATCCAGCTAAAACCTGAAATCAACGATGTTTGGATCATCTGCTAAAGGCACTTTTGATCGAAATATTGGTAAGTCTGATTCCATGTAAATAATTAGTACGAATTTGAGTTATTTTGGTACAAATCGATGACTTCAAGTCTTTATATTAGTTGTGCTATGTAAAGTCGTTGGGCTGCCTTGACTCAATGACTGAGTCGAGAGCTCATTATGTTGCAATGTTGAGTGAGTGTGTGTACGAGGCCGGGGTTCGGCCTAGGCCTAACTAACAATTAACAGCCTTTTCACACACAGCTCAAATTCATCGTATCTAGAGCTGATTAGTTTAAAGCTGTTTAACTCAACAGTTTTAAACAGCTTTAAAGAAAAAATTCCCTGTGTGAACATCGTTTAGAATCTAGATCTAGCCTATACGATGTTCGGATAGATACAAAGTGAAAGTCGCGATTCATACGCCGTTCAAAGGCTCAAAGCAGGCTGTAGATCTAGATACGAAGTCCGTATCTAGAGAGCTTGACATTTTGCGTGTGAACGGTTGTACGTACGTGTTTAAACTGGATGGAGCGTGCGCTTCGTTTGATATGATCTGACCTTCAATGCACAATGGCACTAGATCTAGATCTACTGCGCATTTTAAGAGCAGTAGACTAGTTAATCACAAAACGATTAACGATCGCACCAAAATTTCTGTGTGTGAATGATGTCGTATGTGAAGCTGATTAGTTTAAAGTGCTTTAAACTAGAAATGTAATCAGCTTTAAAGAATTTTACTTGTGTGTGAAAAGGCTGTAATAGTAATACCACTGCACCATGTAAATAGCGTTGCACCATGCACCTTGCTCTCGTAAGCACACACACACACACTCATCAGTCTGCAAGAATCTTCAACTGTGAAGGAGGTAGACTTAACCCAAAGAAGAAGAAGAAGAAGAAGTACCAGGCACTACAGCTTCACGCTGGGATATTGTAGAGATCGCAAAGCTTTTAAGAGAAGGTTGAGTTCTGAGAAGTGGTGAAAAATATTTTGTGAGCGTTATCATTGTTAATATGCAAGTGCGGAAGAACATCCGATAAAAATGTTCCCTGAAAGGCATGGCTCCTCAAATGCCTTAATATTCTAAATATTCTAAATATGGCATGTAACATCATAACATTCAGGACAGATTTTTTTATGCCACTTGTTCGTGTAGTCCCATATACATCTTTCTGTGTACAGTGCTGGTAACTCTACTAAGACTGGGTCAAATTTCTAATCAGTTTGATGACTCCAGAACCTTGCAGTTCACACCAATACTTATATGCTAGATGATCAACCTGTTACACACCGTTTCTTCCACAATGCAATCGCTGACCAGAACTCTACTTTATCTTTAAAGTTAGGGTTCACGTTTAAAACATTTTCCAATACTGCCTGCACACAAAATTGAATAAAATTGATGAACCAGTGCAGTGTTACTGTTATTGTTAGTGTTAGGGTGTCTGATCGCGCACTCAATTTTGTGTGCTAAAACCCATCCCATTGAGATTGCACGCATCCCTATATAAGCAGTCTATGTGCATTGCGCGATCATGCAAAATTGGCCAGTGTTTTTATTTCCAAATCGAGATTCAAACCTTTATTGCTTGTGATCCTGAAGGTGAATAAGCAAACTCCCTGCGCATGCACCTTTGTACACTAACCATATGTAATTCTTTGTGAACAAAAGTGAAAAACCAGGCCCTTCTGTCCGACTGCCTAACCTTAGAATTAAAGAATATTTCATTGGTTTAGCAAGTTCTCTCAACACTGCAAAAAATTATGGTTAGTATTAGATAAGGGTCATAATTGTTCAGCGAAGTAATATTCCCTAAAAGATAGAAAATCAGCAATAAGTGGGTAACCATTTTACTGTAAGGGATGGAGACATATGCTCTTTGACCTTGTGCAGCCTGATTTCTCCACCTCATGAACTTAGGAATGTTTCAAGATTTTTAACTGCCTTTTAGAAAGAAATCCTATTATTCTCTGTGCAACCGGGGGTATGTTTTATCTTTCTTTGTAATAGATAAAGCCACAAGTCAGCTCTTGTTGGAGCCTGATTGGGAGGCAACACTCCAGATTTGTGATGCCATCAGACAGAAGGATGTCACGTAAGTAGCTCCCAAGATCATTTGATTATTTCCAAGTCCCCTATAAAAGGTTTCAAATCCCTCCCTTTACAATTCCACATATTTTCTCTGAGTGATTTAAAGTAAAATTCATGTAGGTTCTCAATTTTTAAGTCTGTTATTAGACTGAAAAAATATCATCAGACCTGCTCTAAGTCTTCTTTCCCGAGGTCGAGGGTTTAATGGAGAACCTAAAAACCTGAAAGCTCAAAAGAATAGTTTTTAGAATAAATAAGGATATTTTTTCATTGTTAATGTAATTTCAGCTTTCAAAAATTATATTGAAAGCTTCTCTTTGATACATGTAATTTCATGATATTTAATATCCTTTTACAAACTCACTTTATATATCATTTAAATATTTTGTACATGCGTATGTTCACATAAAATGCATCATATCTTTCTTCATCCTAAACTGTCAAACATCTCAACAAACTCATCATGTCACTGTTTGTTCTCTTCTCCTCACTATGTATTCCTCCAGTCCCAAGTATGCCTTGGGCAACATCAGGAAGAAGTTGTATGACAAGAATCCAAGGGTCACTCTCTATGCTCTCCAGGTAAGGTATCCCGAGGAATGCAGTAGTTTCCAGTTCAACAAGTTATAGATGCGCTTTAAACATGGATTGCCCGCTACATACACATATTTAGGCACATGGCATGGTAAACAGCCACCCAAAAAAATTGCCACAAATTTTTAACATGTAAATGAATGGCACCTGCATGCAACAAAGGACTTGCGCATATTCATTCCGTTATAAGGTATAAATTTTGCTTCATCTTCAATAAAAAAGATTGCAGTTTTGCAGCGTCATCTCTGAACGACCCTTCATTCTGTTTATAATACAATTTCTTTTTTGATTTAATTTGTTTTATGATTCTTAGGGTCAAACAACAGCTGTACACTTTTGTGGAAAATTAGAATCTCAGTTCAGTTTCGAACATAAGCTTGATTTATAACATTTAAGTAGGTAAAATATACATTTTGCAAATGTTTAAAAAGAATATTTCAGCTTTATTATACCACTTTCGATTAAGTGTGCAGAAGAGGACTTTGTTCAGAAATAATTTAAATATTGCATCAGCATGTCCATAGAGTATACTGCATAAACGATTCCATTAAGTAGATATTTTTTAATTGTTTAAAGAAATCGTTGCATTGTTTGTTGTACTGGATGTAAATGCCATTAATTTCTATACATGTGTATCTGAAAGGTGTTGGAGTCATGTGTGAAGAATTGTGGAACAGGGATTCATGAAGAGATTGCGACCCCTCAGTTTATGGATGACATGAAGGAACTTGTTTTGGTAAGTGAACTTTAACCTGTAGTGTTGATATGAAGGTCTTGTGAGGTTTAAAAGAATGTTATTGTGATGTTAAGTCCAATAGTATACACTATGAACATGACGGACATAAGAAAGCGGACAAAATATACAGTTCCTCATTCTACCCTCAACAATTGCTGTGGTTGACAAAGGAACATCCCCTCACTAGTATTACTGGTATGTAAAAATGTGTAGAACAGGTGTCACGTGCATATTCACCTGTGCTACTTATTTTTACATAATAGCACTGAAGGGATGTTTCTTTGTCTACCACAGCGATTGTTGAGGGTAGAATGAGGAACTGTATATTTTGTCCGTCATGTTCATAGTGATATTCTTTCTCTTAATAGATCCATGATTTTGTCAATATTGTTTTCCTTGTGAAGAACTAGCAGCTGATAATTTACAATTAATTGCGATTTTATTGATGCATAAATACACAGATTTTACTGTAGATAAGACCATATTTTAAGAAGATTCAAGTATTTCATGTATCATCAGTTATCAGAGGACTTGGTGATATCTCATGACTTTGTGGCATTGTGTGAAATACAGTCAAACCTGTTTGAGTGGCCATCTGTCTATAGTGGTCATGAGTTTTGTCTCGCTTGAGATCAAAACGTGTGTTGTAGAATCTGTCTAGAAAGACCATCTGTGTACAGTGGTCATTTTTTTCCTGCCCTTTGGGTGGCCTTTATATTATAGACAGGATTGACTGTTCACTCTGTAGAAATTCTGATCAGACCAACTGCTATATATGAATGCTCTGTGAGTACATGTCTGTAATTGGTGTATGTCAAAGTCATGTTTTTCTTCATACAGTCGAGCAACGAAGCCGTGAAAGGCAAGACCATGGAACTGATTCAGGCCTGGGCCCAGGCCTTCAGGAACGAGCCCAGTCTCAAGATAGTCTGTGATACCTTCAGCCAGCTCAAAGGAGAGGGTAAGATTGTTTCTCAATTTGGTATTTGAAATCTTTGATCTTTGGACTTGATTTGAAATCTGATTTGAAACAAGGTTAAAAACAGAATACAGCTTATGACATGGCAGCAGGGGCGTAGATAGATGCAGTATTGGCAAACCTATGAATTTCAAAGCTTTTATAAATACGTTTGCACCTTGAAAAATCTGATGACCAGGGTTGTGACAAAAAATATATTTTATAAGAAATTAAAAACGACATGTTTTTATTGTTTTAAATGTTTTTATTTTAATAGAAACATGCTTTCTGCGGTAAATCTCTCAAAAACTTTAACATTAACGCCAGTGGTGACTGACAATCTAGGTGTTATGGCACCTGGGCAAAATAAAATTGCAGTATATTTTTTCATTTTAAACCCTAAAAATAAATTGCTTAATTACTTTATATGGTACATACAATTCACATGGGAGCACTGAATCATAGGCATATGGGCATATTTTCATGGGGGGGGGGGGGGGGGGGAGGAGGAGGAGGGGCTGAGACCTGGTGGCTAAATATCAACCATCCTGGTTATAAATTTCATGAGCGAGCGAAGCGACCAAGAAACAAGAACTTCATTATGGTGAAATCATCAAAATATATTCAATTTGGCCAGCTTGCTGCCCAAATTTCGGAACTTTATAAAATCTTAAAGGGCAAGTCCACTCCAAAAATAACTTACTTGCAATAGAAGCAGAAAAATTGGATAACTAATAAGAAAGTTATACATTTTTGAAAAAGTATGAAAACCATGGAAGAATGGAAATCACTACACAAATTGCCAATTTGTGACGTCATGTCCTTACTATTTATCAATTGCTTTATATATTTTTATCCCATTAATTTCCCTTTTTATCCCTAAAAACTTAATTTCCCCATGCTTTTGCCCAGGTTATATGATTTGTATCAAATTGGGTGTATGACATTTCACAAAATCTTTTATGAACTTTGAAGAATTGATACTATTTTCTGAATATTGTATATTCATAATTATAGATTTTTAAAAATATTTTTCACGATTTAACTGGAAAAAAAAAAAGCTCTATTATAGTGCATCCACACAAATACATATTACTATCAATCTAACTGGGATGCTGGTGTGAAGAAATAAAATTCTTAGAGGGGAAATAGGAAATTTATATTATCAATATAAAGAAAACGATTAGTGGATAGTGAGGCAGTGAAGTCACAGACTCATAAGTGATTTGCCAATTTCTCTTGTGATTTTCAAAGTTTTTCATGTCATCAAAAATTCATAACTTTCTTATGAGCAGGGCTCAAATTAATTTTTTGTCCACGGGGCTCTTCAACAAAAAAAGAGGGCGCTCTTTTAGTGCTGATGGGGCTCTTTTCTTAATACAAATTTCCATTGAAATTGGTACATGTACCCATGAAATTCGTTAATTCTGAGCTATTTTATCATTATCATTTATTTAAGTCGGCATTTTCCCTCTTAGAAATTTACTTGTTATATACCGGTAGCTGTTACTGACTTTTATCGCTGGATGACATTCTCTCCATTTCTTCCCGTTCTGCACCTTATTTCTTCCTCATTATTCGGAGCAACCTCATGTACATTCTTTCTTTAGGGGCGGATTTAGCTTTTTGCTAAGGGTGGGGGGGGGGGGGGGGGGTAACCCAAATACGATGTGGACATTGTCCACGAGCCGCATAGCGGCTAGGCAATTTTTTTTATCCTGTTGCTAGTTTTGAATTCCCGTAAGTGATGTTTTTCTGGCATCTACTAACATCTACTAATACTGTGTAGGTCTAGAGACATGATGGCATTTTTCTATGCACATCACATTTTCATTTGGCAACCCAAGGGGGGGGGGGGGTTTAAACCCCCTAACCGCCTAGATTCGCCCTGCAACATCTTTGGTCTTTTTCTCAATATTGATTTACTGGTCGATTTTTCTTAAAGAGATGGTTCATTGAAATGTGGAAAATGGGCAAATTACACCTCTACAGATTGCTGAGAACATTAACAAAATGAGCAAAGTACTTTTGAAGCCCTCACTGTTGTGAGGAATAAAATAAATGCAATTTTGTTACCCTTTCCTGAACCCACTCACTAAGTGAATTGACGGCGTTATTTTACATGCGAAACAATGACGTCACATTATGAACAATCTACATCACACATTCGGGACAATGTTGGATACCCATTGCATATATGGGTTAACGTTGTTTGTATATTTACCGCCAGTGGTGATATTTCCTATTTTTTGGGCATTTTGAATGAGATAAATAATGCTTTCTACAAATGTTTTGTTTGATTTTTATATTTTTTTCCGTCACATTTGAGCATAAAAATCAGAAAAATAATCACATATTTTAAGGGCACTTCATCGTGTATGTGTCTGATCTGGGAAGGCAAAGGACATTTTGCATGCTGACCTAACGACTATTTTGGAGTAAAATAGGCGACAAATTTACATATAATTGTCCAGATATTCATTACAAAAATGTGTGATTAGGCTGATTAATTTACATTTTTGATAAAATAAGTCGTATATGACCTGATAAACCGAGAGAAACAGATCAGTCCGGTTCGCAATTCACGGCTAGCTCGAGCGCCAGGCTAGGCTGGCTAGCAAGCTGCGCTAGATGTGATGCACGCATATAGAGGTCAGTGTATTTCACACATAGTACATGCACAGAGTACGCACGCACAGCTACCAGCTACGGGAAACTTGAACGCTACATCAACGATATATTCACTCGCTTTTTGGAAGTTATATACCATTTATCTAGACTAACGTCAGATTAAGAACCAAAACCATGCCATGGAGGAGCCTTCTGGAGTATACTCAAGTATGTTTTCGTCCATATCCATATTTCCAGGGGATTTCGATGAAGGTTAACAGCGTTAGGTATAAATGGGTACGGTACTCGAGAGTCAATGCAATAGATGTGAATATCACGCAAACTGCATCTCGCACCATCATCAATCATTTCAGCTGAGCGGCTCGCTGTTCATATTGTGACGTCACTTCAAAAATCAGCTGACTTACGATGTTTTGGGGGCGTTGAGTGGGTTGATTTTTCGTCAAGTTTAATCAACTTTTATAAATTTCGCTCGAATGTACAAGTTACACAAATGTAATGATTTTACTCAGTGTAATTTTTTTATTGCAATGATACCAAATTCAGTCAAGTTTGAAATCAATAAATCAGCTCTTTAAGAAGAAAATTGTTTTCCCATCTGCAAATTTGTAAATTATTTATGTTAATTTTTTTTCTTGCATATTTTACCTTTCTTTACACAAAGTTGATTATACATTTGTTCCCCCAGTTCAAAAGGCTGTGTACTGTATGATTGATAGCTTGAGAGATAGATGATTATAGATTATATGCATAATCTGCCTCTGTTAGCGGAAATACAGGGACTTGGTTTTAAAAAAAATCCCCTCTTCCATTGCAATGAAGTACATATTGTATTTGCCTTTTTCTGTGGGTATTGTTAACAATGAGGGTGAAATATTAATCTCTGTACCAGCAGACTACTATTTGTTTGTGCCCCCCCCTCCCCCCCCCCCCCCCCCCCCCCCCCCCCCACACACACACACACACTCATCATGTAACAGGATATTTGTGCTGGTATTAGAGAATACAATTACCTTTTTTCCCTTTAGTACAGCTAGAAGAATAAAAGCTACTCCAAAGCATCAGTTATGTCAGTATTTTTGCAAATCTCCAAAACTTTACCTAGCATTCTGTGGGTTGTAAAGTAGAAAAAAACATTAATTCCCACGCACAGAACCCGAATCAGTCTCATTTGTTTTATGTACTATTCAAGTACAGTCAAACCTGTCTATAAAGGCAACTCAAGGGAAACAGAAAAGTGGCCACTGTACACAGGTGGCCTTTCTAGACAGGTTCTTCAACACACATTTCTTTCTGAAGGGAGTCAAAATTCATGGCCACTAAGACTGGTGGCTGTTACCACAGGTTTGACTGTACATGAAAGTGCTTTGACTAGTCTACTTAGTCTCTTTAATGTTTATGGAGAGTATATTTGAACATGCAATGTATTTGAAGCTCATAGTTTAGTATACCGCCGTGAAACCCCTAAATAAGGGATTAAATGTATGTTGGTGATTGATACCCTTCAGTGCTCTATCACACACACCTAGTAGGTGAAGGAAGAGTTGCACCTTATCACCGCCGTGAAACCCCTAAATAAGGGATTAAATGTATGTTGGTGATAGGTACCCTTTAGTGCTCTATCACACACACCAAGTAGGTGAAGGAAAAGTTGCACCTTATCACCGCCGTGAAACCCCTAAATAAGGGATTAAATGTATGTTGGTGATTGGTACCCTTTAGTGCTCTATCACACACACCAAGTAGGTGAAGGAAGAGTTGCACCTTATCACCGCCGTGAAACCCCTAAATAAGGGATTAAATGTATGTTGGTGATTGATACCCTTTAGTGCTCTATCACACACACCAAGTAGGTGAAGGAAGAGTTGCACCTTATCACCGCCGTGAAACCCCTAAATAAGGGATTAAATGTATGTTGGTGATTGATACCCTTTAGTGCTCTATCACACACACCAAGTAGGTGAAGGAAGAGTTGCACCTTATCACCGCCGTGAAACCCCTAAATAAGGGATTAAATGTATGTTGGTGATTGATACCCTTTAGTGCTCTATCACACACACCAAGTAGGTGAAGGAAGAGTTGCACCTTATCACCGCCGTGAAACCCCTAAATAAGGGATTAAATGTATGTTGGTGATTGGTACCCTTTAGTGCTCTATCACACACACCAAGTAGGTGAAGGAAGAGTTGCACCTTAACTCACTACTCTAATTGGTTTGTAAAATGGGACTTTTCAGTTTGACGACAATTGCTTAAATGACTTAGGCCCTATTTATCCCCTCTGGAATTGAATGTAGAGTCATATGTGATTAGAAGATGGTAATACATGTATAAAGCTTTAACAGAAGAAATTGTTTACAATGCATGTGTGCCTGTACATTTATTTTATATTTATGTCATTTAGGTTTTCAATGAGATTTGATTTTGAATTTGAATGAAAGCATTCAAAGAGACCCGTTGTGATCACAAAATAATAAAGATTTAACCTACTACTGAATTTCTTATCTTTCTGCAGGAAATTCATTCCCTCAGCTGAAAGAGAGTGATGCCATGTTTGTGGCTGAAAAGGTAACCAAGATATTTTCTTATCAATATGTCGGGGAATTATTTATTTTTTAGAGAGGTGATGTTTAACTGTTTAACTTGACAATGATTCTTTTATTTTTTTATTGTTATGCTTGACATGATTTTATTCGATTCTTTCTAATCTCATTGGGAAATTGATCCTAATTCACTTGGGCTTGATATTCCCTATACTACATTCAATAGTAATGGGCCAAAGAGTGATTCAAGGCTACACTTTTGCAGGCAGAAGGGAAGTCAGGGGTGAAAGGTCACCAGAGTTTGACTTCCGTTTTGTCATCATGCATGAGCATTTTTCATTTTACTGTCAATCTAATTTTGAAAAAGGCCCTTGTAACCTCTTATTAATTTGAATAAAACCTAGTTTATCTGTTTCTTTATGTTTAAGAAACACGCCCTTTACATTCTCTCCTTTAAAAAAGAAAAAAGCACCTGCGTCATAATCTTGACAGTTGCTGTTCTTTTTCTTTTAAAACCCACCTTTCTTTTCTTTTCTTCTCTCTTAAATCAAGCGCCTGAAAGCTTCATTTTCTATTCTTTCTTTTAAAAGTGAACTTTCTATTTTATTCGTTCTCTACTTTTATTAAACATTGACGTGAAGGGAAAAGAGCCCCATCATGAATAGATCTTTTGTTTGATGAAAATCCACAAAATCTACATTTCTGATTTTTGCTTTTTGGAGAGATCTATCCCGATGGTTCATAATTTTAAAAATGGAAAGTGTTTCATAATTCCAAAAAAATTGAATGTGTTTGTATTGCTAGGTAGGACAAACATTATGGGTTGCCATACCTAAGAATAACACATTTATGAAGTGTTTAATTCCAAAAGGAGCTGAATCCATTTTTGTAACTTTAGAGAAAAAAGAAATTGTTTACCAGATTTTGTACAGGCGTCTTTCGAAAAGTGATATTAGAAGGTGAATTTTTCATAATTGCTCCCAAAATTTAAGTAAATAATTTTGTTGAAGGACGGGTACTTAAAGTAAACAATGTTCTGATATCAATAACTCAATTTTCAACATAAGTGTATATAGCTCCTTTTGGAATGAAGCTCTTTATATATACAACTTGCATTTTGATTATTGAAATACAATTATTTGCAACAGGTAAATGAAATAATTCATATTGAGGCACTTCACAAATACGTGTTCATGACATTTGATTACAATTCGGCAATGGCCTATTCATGCATACCTAGTATCTTGTGGCTATAGTGTAGAATGCTTTCACACAGGATTATATGTTGTCATTAACCAGGCCACAGACTCAGATTAGGACAGAGTTTGGTACATACAGGTCTAAACATTGATCTATAATTGTGTATTTGCCAGGCTCCAGACTGGGCAGAAGGAGAGAGGTGTTTCACCTGTAGGACTGAGTTTGGTCTGGTACAGAGACAGGTGAGTTCCTTCATAAATATTCATATCTGTTTCTACTAATGTAATATGGATAAAAGTCAAGTACTGGTCATGTGATGGCATTGTGAAAAAACTGTCCAGAATATGTTTGGAAATATTTAATATGTATTGCATAAATATCACTGTTTATTTTGCTGCTTTTGAATCCTTGAAATGTTATCAAAACTGACTACTGCATAAAATCATGTATAAATGTATTGCCTACAAAGTTGGACATACCCTGGTGACATTTGCTCCAGATATTATTTCATCAAAGGTATAAGGTTAGGGTTGTGATTGGGTTTTTAGGTTAGATTTAGGGTTAGGTATAGTGTTGGCTCCAGAATAATTGGTACAAATTCAGTTGGTGTTGTAAACTTTATACTGTTATAATGTTTAACAATTGTCACCAGAGCTTTTAAGGTGCAATCATTTTGTAGAAGTCAATATGTTGTTTATGTAGTACTGTTGCATGCCTTTCCACCCGGTTCCAACTTTGGCTGATATCAGTGGATTGCCTTTAGAATCCACGCTGAACATGCCAGGACTGAGCAGGAGAGAGTGCAGTATGCAACTGTGGTCATCCAGACCAGACCTTATCGCACATCATCAATGACTGCATGCTGACAAGTATCCCAGGAGGCATCAATGAACTCCGACTATTGTCGTTTGACGCCCTTACATGGCTCTCCAACCTTGATTTATCTTTTAAGCTGCAAAATATTTTATGAAAGAAGATGGCTTTCTCAATTCCCTTTCCTTTTCCACTTCTCATAATTTTGTCTCCTTACAGCATCACTGTCGTCACTGTGGCCAAGTCTTCTGTGGTAAGTGCTCCTCCAAGAACTCCACCATTCCCAAGTTTGGCATCGAGAAACCTGTCAGGGTCTGTGACAACTGCCACGAAAAGCTCCAGGGGTAAATTTGTGATTCTATTTAAAATTTAAGGTGCATTGTTATTGATCATGATCACCAAGTTGAAAGATATGATGAAAGATGAATTATTAATATGTTCAATGAATGATTCTCTATGTACATGTAGGTAGAGAAATATTTATGCACCTATTGCCCTGATGGGTTTTGCACACAATACTTTTACACATGTTAAATTTCAATTTCAATCATAAACCAGGATGGAGATTACTGTTAAAGTAGAAATATTCATTTTCACAGATTTTAGAACTCGCGAAAATATAAGCATGACTTCTTACGCGTGTTCTGAACGGGCTGAATTGCGTGCAACACAAATTTAAGAACCAGCAAATATGATTTGGGGTTAATCAGCGCGGAAAATTAATCATGCAAAAATAACAGTGTTTACAGTACCTCATTTTATTACATAAACTTAAAAAAGAATAAACTACAAACAATTTCATGAAATCTTAAAACATACAAAATTCATCTTTTAAAATTAACAATCTTCTGCTCACAACAATTTTGGTTGCTAATTTTCCTTCTTGATTTTTAGAGTGAATTTTTACTCATCGCTGATATTTTTGACTAATCCTCCAGTCATCTACCTTGCCACACACTTCTGACGCAAGTTTTCTCCATTGTTTCCTGTCCTCTACAACTGCTTTCCTCTAGCACATCAGTGAGCTACAAACTTTTCTTGAGCCAGTTTTGAGTTCTCCATAACTTGATAAGGAAGAGCTTTTTACTAGCCAGGTATTGTCCATTCTGGCTACATGGCCAATCCAATGCAACTGGTCTCTCATGAGGGTTACTTCAATGTCGTCAGCACATGCATGTCATATTACTTCATCAGTATGGAGCTTAGCTTGTTGACCTGATGTTGATGTAGAGTCCATGTTTCACTTGTGTAGGTTAGAAGAGGTATGGCACACTGATTATAGACCTTGACATATGTGGCAATGGAAAAGGTCTCTGCAGTCATAATACCTACTTCAAGATTAAGTGCCTTTAATAGCCCAATAAATGCTTTTATGTAGTAGGAACTTCCTGAATTATATTAGGTTGATGATCTGTCAACATATGACTAGGTACTGGATTGCTGCCTTGTATTCTATTTTCTGGCAAAGAAAACCAAATAGATGTAAGAAGTTCATGCTATTTGTTGTTTGTGTTTTACAGCAAGTCGAGTTCCACCAAGTCACCAAGCTCAGGTGGAAACAAGGAGAGTGACCTTCCAGACGAGTACCTGAACAGTCCCCTGGCCCAGCAATCTCAGGTAAGAAAAATTACCATCTACCCGTGGTGGTCTGTGGTGCATTGGTTTGTGCACTTGCCATGCAATGGGTTCAAGTGTAAATAATTAATCTCTCCTGATGAATATGTGTCCAGCCACAGTTTTGCATTTTGGATGAGATGACCTATCTTACATTTTGAAATATTTTTGTCTACATATGGAATTGAAAAATCATTGATGTACCGTGAATTTGTAAATAGTTGGTCTGCACACAATACGTTCTTGCCAACGGGGAAGTGTAATGTTATATTATATTTTGTCCACAGGAGTTTTTTCTAAAATTTTCTACTGTAAACATGAGATTGCAGTGACTTTTGTGTTTTAATCATTTTACCCAATTTTGAAAGCCCTATTAGAGCTCCTTTTTCACTTTTTATCAGTAAAACAAATGGGAGTTATCTTGAAGAGCTTGTTCACAACAATGACTTTCTCCATGTACATGTAGCTCAGTATTTGGACATTTTGTAAATAAATAATTCCAGGCAATTAATCAATTGGGCTATTGTCTGTCTTATTCTCTGACTCTCTTTGTAAAATCAGATGCCACCACAGCGCAATGAAGCGGATCTTCAGGAGGAAGAGGAGCTCCAGTTAGCCATGGCTCTCTCCCTTGATGAAGCAGAAAATAAACATATTGTGAGTGTTTTATGCTTTTGTCTTATGTATCACCATGTTCATATATGGCACAGTAAACCACAGCATTAAACAAAAATACATATAGCCTACTTATAATTATAATGACATAAGTGTGATATGCTTCACATTTATGTTTGTTATACATAAAAGCTCAGTGAGTATGTGTAGGACATGTTTTGTTGTGTGCATTTGCTTTTTATTTACACAATGTTTTAAAAAAAGGGTGTAGTTTACCGTCTCATATCTGAAGGAGCCTTTGTGTGTCTGATATATCATATGCGTTTTATGTGTCTTATGCTTCATTTACTGCTTCATATCTGAACGAGCCTTTGTGTCTCTGATATATCATATGCGTTTTATGTGTCTTATGCTTCATTTACCGCTTCATATCTGAAGGAGCCTTTGTGTGTCTAAAATATCATATGCGTTTTATGTGTCTTATGCTTCATTTACCGCTTCATATCTGAAGGAGCCTTTGTGTGTCTGATATATCATATGCGTTTTATGTGTCTTATGCTTCATTTACCGCTTCATATCTAAAGGAGCCTTTGTGTGTCTGATATATCATATGCGTTTTATGTGTCTTATGCTTCATTTACCGCTTCATATCTGAAGGAGCCTTTGTGTGTCTGATATATCATATGCGTTTTATGTGTCTTATGCTTCATTTACTGCTTCATATCTGAACGAGCCTTTGTGTGTCTGATATATCATATGCGTTTTATGTGTCTTATGCTCTATTCAGTTTTACTTTTCATCAAATAAATTTCATTGGAGATTAATAACCTAAACTTCACCTGGATCTACAGATGCCCTTATCCTTGTAGGTGTTTGGACTCATCTATGCACAACATTATTGTATATTGAGAGTGTTTTGAAATTGCAGTATGTCTTTATATAAGGGAAATTAGAAACTTATTTGGACTATAGAATGGTGACATGGAAGCCCAATTAAACATCAAAGTAAAATCATTTTTGGTGATTTCTCGGACCTTTAAAAAGGCCAAAGAAGCACCTTTAGTACAGCGGATTAGCTCCCCATATAACGAGAATTGTGCACTTTTTGATAAAAGCATGAAACTTCTAGCATAGTTAGTTTAGACCATAAGATTCATTTTCAGATGTGGAGGGAAGTCAGATTTGACCTCTGATGACCCTGAGAGGTCAAATTCAAAATGGCCGCCAGTCCGCATGGTCTAATGTACAAACACGCTAATTAACTTTTGAACAAAATAGTCCAGAAAAACATTTAAGGTGTCGTTTCCAACTAAATTGAGGATGCCAATGCATTTGGTTATACTTTTGAGATCGCCAGATTTCGGGGTTTGGCATTTAGGTCAAGGTTAAGGTCAAAATTGACTAAAAATAGCAAGTTTTCAATGTTTACAACGAAACAAATCCCATTTATTTGTCATTTGTTCGCTCCTATGTTCTCAAATTTCTTTAAGAGTGGTTCCCCTGCAGACCATGAGATTCATTTTCAGATGTAGAGCGAAATCAGATTTGACCTCTGATGACCCTGAGAGGTCAAATAAAAAATGGCTGCCAGTCCGCCGCATAGTCTAATAATTGTCCAAACACGCTTAACTCTTGAACTAAATAGTCCAGAAAAACGTTTAAGGTGTCATTTCCAACTAAGTTGGGGATGCCAATTCATTTAGTAATACTTTAGGGTACGCCAGAACTCTGGGCTTTGCATGAAGTCAAGGTCAAGGTCAAAATTGACTAAAAAAATAGCAAGTTTTGAATGTTTACAAAAAGTTTTCCCATTTATTTGTCCCCCTATGTTCTCACATTTCTTTAGGAGTGGTTCCCCTGCATAGTCTCCATCGTAATCCCTGTCAGTTAGTTTATTTCACTAATTATAGCACCAAACCAGTAGTTGTCTTGTAACTGACCATATGCATATAGCATAGTCAGTGGGCAGCTAGGCAGTATACGGTACAAACCTCAATTCAAGTCAGAGAAACTGCTCCTTTCCGTTACTGCTCAATAATACTGGTAAGATGTTCTTTAAGTTACTTTGTGTTTTATTTGGTTTAAGTAATTTAAATAATCGCTACAGAGTTTGAGGAACATGCCATAAAGCAAACTAACGTTTCTGCTAACACTATACAAACATCACCTTGACCAGCAACCTGGAGTGCAGGCAGCATTCTTGAGGGATGGGAACTTCTGACAGTACTGAAAGAGATGGGGAATCCATCTCTAGAACAAAGTCAAGACATACTAGTCATTGGCACAAGCGACATATCATGGACATCCAATTGGCTGAAACGGGGAGAAGGATTGAGACCCTAGGTGAGCAGTACACAAAGTTTGTGACAGAAAGGCTAGAGCAGTGTACGACACCTAGCTGTCACACAAACACTTCATACGAACAAGTTGCCATTTTTCAGTCGGCAGCCGGCGAAGGTTATATATATGTTAAAACAGAAGGCACAGCTTGCAGCACTTAAGAGTGACTGTGGTCTCTTTTTGAGGATTTACATCTCGTGTCAGACAAGGGATGGAGATATGGACAATTTCTTCTCTCATGAAAACCAGGCAGTCCCACCAGCTTTGTTAACTGGAGGTAAATGCGGTTTGGAGTTAAAGCAGATCTACTTCGCTGCCTGGAATCAAATCTGCTCGAAAACAATAGTGCACCTGTGGCCCAAGCAATAATTATTGATGGTGAAGCTGTGGTTCAATTAAATGCTCAACCCTGGAACATCAAGAACATTTCAAGAGTATGGAGAAAAAGTGTTTGCCCCATACATCTTTGCTCAACTCGAGAAAAGCATCCACATCGACCTTGGCTATGGTGTATACTTACCTGCTAGCCTGAAAGCCTCAATAGGGCAGGAAAAGGGAAAGGGCACCAGGAAAAGGGTGGCTCCTTCCATTTTGCTGCCAGAAAGCTGGAAGGACTTCCTTCGATTCAATGAGAACAAAACCGAATTGTTTGATTTCATGTCATGCGAAGCCGTTTACCTTCCTCTACCACAGGGCAAGGAACTGTATAATATGCAACAGATGGAAGTGGAGTACTCTGCTCTCCTGCTGAGTCACACTTGGTAGGCCTTGTCCCATGGGTGTAAAAGGGTATCCATACGTATTGTTGGTACTGATGCGGTTGAACTGGCCCTGGCTTCATTCAGCAAGACAGCTCCTGATGCTAGCTGGGGATCGCTTTTGGTGTCAGATCAAGCTTTCGGTACAAGGCTTTTCATAAAATCATGAGTCTGACACAATGTATGACTCTTCCAATCTTTCATGCGTTCACCGGGTGTCACACTGTTTCTACATTCACAGGAAAAACTTAGAAGTCTTTCCCAGAGGTGAATGATTCCTTCAATGAACTCCTGTGCATGCCTAGGATCGATCGAGGTCAGTGAAGGATCAATGTTACTGCCAGAGCGATTTGTGGTGCTAATACGACCGAACCAGTGAGAGCATGATAGTGAATGATGCCAGGAAACAGCTCTTCGCACAGAAGTCTAGAAACCTGGAGAACTTTCCTCCATCCCAGGCAGCACTCAAGCAGCACCTCAAGCGCACTTGCTACCAGGCCAACTGTTGAAACCAGATATTGGCCAAGAATCCAGAGATGCAGAGCCATCTGACTTGGGCTGGACAAACGAAACAACTGGGTGGCAGCCTCTTTGGACCACTCTCCCGGAAGCATAAAAGTTGTGGCATGAATAATCCACTGTCGCTGCAAGAAAAGATGCACTGGAATGTGATCTTGTTCTGGAGACTGTTAGATTTTGATCGTTACCATCATTAGGATATGCATAAGTTGTGGACAGTGCTAAATTCATGTAAATATCTATAGCTGTGGTTATGAACAGGTTTTAGGTCGTATTTGGAATAGCTTTTTTTGTCTTCTGGGCCCAATTTCATAAAGCTGCTAACCGGTAAGCAAATTTTCGTGCTATAACTGTAGCAGACAACTTTGGTTAGCAAGAAAACAAGGCGTCCACCTTGTACGTTCACAATGGATTGCATTGTTACAAAATTCATTTTCGTTCAGTAAGCAGCGTAAGGTTAATGCATTTTCGTGTGCTTACGGTTAGCAGTGCTTTGAAGTAGAAACTAATACGTAAGCACAGAACCAGCCGATAAGCAGCTCTATGAAATTTGGCCCTGGATAGTCAAAGTGGTGGTACACGGGTCTTTTTATTAATTTTTAAAATAATGAAACCTTAAGTGTCAAAATAGAGGCAATGTTTATTTTAAAAAAGAAAACAGCACTTTTTTGGCCTAATATGACCTTTAACTTGACCTCATTGCAAATCCCTGAGTTCTGGCGATCTCAATGTATTACGTAATGAATTGGCATCCCCAAGTTAGTTGGAAATGACACCTCAAACGTTTTTCTACACTTTTTTGTTCAAAAGTTACCACGTTTGTACATTAGACCATGCGGACTGGCGGCTATTTTGGATTTGACCTCTTAGGGTCATCAGAGGTCACATCAAACTGTTAGATAAACTAACTGAAAAGGATTAAGGTGGAGAACTCTGCAGGGGAACCATTCCTTAATAAATTTGAGAACATAGCTAGGGAGAACAAATGACAAATAATGGGGATTTAACCTTCTGTAACCATTTAAAACTTGCTATTTTTAGTCAATTTTGACCTCGACCTTGACATAAATGCCACACCCTGAGTTCTGGTGATCTCAAATGTACTACCAGATGAACTGGCATCCCCAATTTAGTTGGAAATGACACCTTAAATGTTTTTCTGGATTATTTGGTTCAAAAGTTACTGCGTTTATACATTAGCCCTTGCGGACTGGCAGCCATTTTGGATTTGACCTCTCAGGGTCATCAGAGGTCAAATCAAACTGAAATAGACTACCTGAAAAGGATTAAGGTGGAGGACTATGCAGGGGAACAATTCCTAAAGAAATTTGAGAACAAATGACAAATAAATGAGATTTAACCATTTGTAACCTTTCAAAACATGCTATTTTTAGTCAATTTTGACCTTGACCTTGACCTAAATGCAAAACCCTGAGTTCAGGCGATCTCAGAAGTATTACCAAATGAATTGGCATCCCCAAGTTAGTTGGAAATGACACCTTAAACGTTTCTCTGGACTATTTGGTTCAAAAGTTAAGCATGTTTGTACATTAGACCATGCGGCCTGGCGGCCATTTTGGATTTGACCTCTCAGGGTCATCAGAGGTCAAATCTGACTTCCCTCCACATCTGAAAATAAATCTTATGGTGAAAGCAAACTATGCTAGAAGTTTCATGCTTTTATCAAAAAGTGCACAATTTTCTTGCTAAGCCGCTGCACTACTTTGCAAATGAATGGCAATGCATCCAAGTATATTAAGAAGGGAAGTGTGTAAAGTGAATTTTTTTTAGTAAGCACCTGGATTAGCAGATATTGCTGCAACATAAGTATTATTATCAATGTTTTATTTAATTACAGACATGCGAAGGAAAAAAAATGTAAATATAAGTTTCATACGTGTAATTTTGAAGTCATTTAGCAGTGCCAAAGTGAAAGTAACCAAAACGAAAGCATGGAAATTGGGCAAGAATATAAATCTTGTACTTGTTTGTTCCGATTTTAGATCAAAGGAGGCAAGAGCCCTGCTTCAAGTACCACTTCACCCTCTGTCCCTAGCTCTGCTTACAGCTCTAGCGTAAGTTTCCTTTATGGCTATTAAGAAGTGAAGGTGAATGATTCTTACAATGAACTTGACTTTATGTAATTGGCAAGGTGATGATGTAATGGTGGTTGTAATGATGATAATGAGTTGATGATGATGATGCTGATGATGATGATGATGATGATGATGATGATTGTGATGGTTATGATGGTGGTGGTGACAATGATGATGATGATGATGATGATGATGATGATGATGATGATGATGATGATGATGATGCTAATGGTGATGATAGTGATAATTTTTTAATGAGGAAGATGATGGGGATGGGTATAGTCACAGTAATATTAGTATGCGATGGTGATAATCATGTTAATACTTGCAATTTAACATGATGGTGCTAGTGCTTTCAATGATGATGATAACAATAATGATAGCATTCTTGATGCTGATTATGATGTTGGATTGCTTTGATTCTCCCATTTCAGGTCTCATCTGCTCCAGCACCAGAACCTGAGCTGGATCCAGAGGTAAGCAATCAAACATTAAATCATTACCATTTCCCCCCAATCATGTAATGTTAGTTGATTCTACCTTTTTGTGGTATAAAGTGGTCCATTTACATGATTTTCACCCAAGTGGTTGAGAGTTGCATTCTTGCCCAATGCTTAAGTTTTATGTATTTTATTAATCTCTCTAGACCAGCGTTTTTCAAAAAGAACTCAAAGAGTCTTGCATCACTCCTATCCCAAAATCAAAGAACATTTATTTGCCATCCCTCTGGCTCTTGTTAAGTGCCATGTACACACGTTTGGGCACATTTGTTTCTGAATTTTGTGAGCAAGTGAGCCAAAACAAGAGAATTCTTAATGTGTTTTAAAAAATTGTTTTCATCAGGCTGCCAAATATACATTAATACAGAAATTATGTAGGCCTATTTCGTTGCATGATACAGAGAAATGAGGATATGATCAGGCATCTTGTTGGTTGGGAATTTTCCTTTTTCGAAATGTTGGGAGAGAGTGAAGTGAACGAGCTGATTAAAATGCAATTTCGATATACAAACAAAAAAGATATCACATATATACTGGCATTTCATTATCGAATAGACGGATATATGGTCACCTCATTGCCCAAATATGAAGCTATTAACCCTAACAAGGTCAGGTTATTTAGGCCATGCTACAGAGGGGAGTTGGGGGGGGGGGGGGCTGGCTGGATTCTGCCTCCTCCAATCTTTCAGATTTTTCAGGTTTTCATTAAAAAGAACTATGCCATCTAATGCTAAATGAGGTTCATATCTTTTGTAGTTAGCTATTCAGTGAAGAGCACATATAAAATATTTATTGGCTTTTGTACATCAGAAATAGCTGATTATGCAAATTAGCTGATAAACATATTGCAAGATACTACACCACTTGTAACTGTGATAATCAGTATTACTGTGCATATAAGTATAGGGAAATTGCAATTGCAACTGATTGTCAAAATGTTATGATTTTTATATGATAAGATACGCTAGATTTGTGGCTTAAAAGTCATTAAAGCATGGAGTGACAGGAAAATTTCTACAAAAATATTGCAGAAAACCCTTTTAAAAGCGAAGACCAGTATTGGAAACGCCCCAATTTAAAAAAAATGAAATGGAAGCTCTTATTACAAATCATGTGAAAGAATATGTTTTGACTAATACACGATGATAGAAATTTTGCCGGGAAACTGCCTACTAATTGATATATTTGCTAAATTAGTTTATCTATTGGGATGTGATAGATAAAACGCACGTGTCGCGCATGTCCAATATACATCTTACTGTGTACAGAGCTTGTAACTTTACCAAGACTGGGCCAAATTTCTTATCATTTTGATGATTCCAGAACCTTGCAGTACCCACCAATACTTATATGCTAGATGATCAACCTTTTCTGATCGATTCCACAACATTTCTTTCACAATGCAATCACATTACCAGAACTGATCTTTATCTTTAAGTTCTATTTCCTGTTTCTACATATTGCGAGTGAGCGTGCGAGGAAGAAAAACAGTCTGTTATATCAAAAACCTCATGAAATTTCATTTATTCCATAGTTTTATTCTAATGGTCTCACAAAATCAAGGTGATTCAAAAGAAATTTTTTGATATAGCTTTTATTCTCTTGCGGCACCGGGTTGAAAATCGCTGCTCTAGACCCAGGTTTATCAAATGGGCCTTTAAATGTTGGTTTCCTAATGGAAGTTTGAGAACATTGCAGATACCCACTACCCTGAACACTGCTACATATGTCGACCAATTTAAGATAATTTTGAAGGCCTGTTTATTAGTTAAGGTGCATGGATTGTTATAGGTTTATGTTGGCCCAACTGGTGTTTTTGAAGTATCATTGTGTAAACAGTCCCTATACTTTATTGTGGAGGAAATTGTGCGGAGCTTTGTAAGTGTACGGAAAGATGCTCTACCCGATATTCTGGTTGGGATCTGATCGCAAGTTCCTTTTGTGACTTGAATGAGTAATAAAAAAGGAAAATATCATTATCCCACTTATAGCTTGCCCGCTACCTGAATCGATCATACTGGGAGCAGAAGCAGCAGGAGAACCGCAGTGCCATGCCATCAGCTCCATCTGGAGGAGGCGACATTGTCCCGGCAACAGCCCCGCCCTTGTCCCAGTCCACCTCCTCTCTGCCCCAGTATTCCCAGAGCAAGACATTTGAGGTGAGACTCCTTTGTAATTTGGTTGTACGATGCATGCTCCAGTGACAATTGCTCCACCTATAAGATCATACGCTAACGAAATTCCTTAGTTCAGCACTAGGACTTCATTTGGTGAATGTCCTAAGGGGGTAATTTTCCTAAGGGGGTAATTATCCTAGGGGATGATTGTTTTAAGGGGGTAATTGTCCTAGGGAGTGATTCTCCTTGGGATAATTGTCCTAGGGGGTAAACTTCCAAGGGGGTAAGTTTCCTATTGGTAATTTTCGGTAGGGGGGGGGGGGCTGATTTTCTAGGGGGTAATTGTCCTGGTACGAGAGAGCAAGAAAATGATTTAAAAGTAAGTTTGAAAGTAGTTTCCTCGCAAAAGGACATAATTGATCTGACTTAATTAAAAACAAAGACCTTATAGTTCCAAGTCTACTACTCTGTCCACTTAGCCATCACGTCTACTATACCTTTACCCCTTTAGGAGGCACAGAACGGTGCCGCAGAGCCGGAGATTGAGGAACTGGTCTGCAACATGTCAAGCAGCATTGACGTACTGGTGAACCGCATGAAGAGCGACTCATCTCGCGGCCGGAGCATCGCAAGCGACACCACAGTGCAGGGTCTGTTCCAGGTGTTGGCCAGCATGCATCCAAGGCTGCTCAAGTTACTGCAGGAGAAGGAGGAGAAAAGAAGTAAGTGGAGAATAATTTGGTAACCTGGCTCAAGATTTGGACTGTTACTTAAAGGGGCACGTTCCCGCCAGTGTAGTTATCGGAACATGCCGATCTGCCTAAGAGCCGTATTCTATTGGTGTCAATAGTCAGCTATAGCGCCGTCCGCCAGCGCGTACGTATTTTGAGCGCCCTCTGGAATACGGGGAACATGCCCCTTTAAGTTCTAAGCTTTTGCTGTACATTTGGAAGTAATATAAAAATTACAGGGGACCAATCACTAAAAAAGTGTTCTAGCTCCAACTTTTTTTGGTTCATGTCAATATACTACAATTTTTGAAATATTTGCTCGCAATATATTTTGTTGATGCAAATGCAAGATGAATCCTCTCGAAATGAAAATAATAGTCTCACGGTTACATGCACACATGTGCATGGACCCTAAGTCAAACTTCAGTTTGAAGAAGGAAAAAGATTACCTTGTCAAAATTTTTGGATACAGTATCAAATTTGGGCTGTTTAAACCACCTATGGCACTAAAAGGATCAATAATTAGTTACATAATCAATGTTTAATAAACTGTAAATTATTTTTCTCCTGTAGCTCAAATGGAGGCTCTGCAAGATAAACTGGCTCAGATCCGAGATGCTCGTGAGGCTCTGGATGCCCTCCGTGAGGAACATCGGGAGAAGCTAAGACGAGAGGCAGAGGAGGCAGAGCGACTCCGCCAGATGCAGATGGCCCACAAGCTGGAGATCATGAGACGCAAGAAACAGGCAAGTTACTGCTCACGTGCTGCCAATTTGAGTTAGCTTTCAGGTTTCTGCTTACCCATTTATAAACACCTACAGAAATTTAAGTCATTAAACATTGCTTCATTTGGTTTCTGTACTGGATACTTTTGTGCAACAGCCTACATTGTCAATAGTCACTGGTCATACATGGCTAATTTTTAGTTTCCTTTTGGGATGCTATAAATGTACAAAGGGCTGGCCAATTATTAATGATGAAAGTAATGGCATGTATGGTGCTCACTGATTTACACTAGTAAACCCTCACCAACAAATTGTATTGTTTGATACATTTTCTACATAGACTAATTTTGTTGTTTTTGTTATCGCTATTGTTATCATTGCTATGTGACCAGCCCTTTAATGATAAAACGTTGCCTAATCAGGTTACCTTGTTTTGTGCCAGCCTAATGAAGTTGCTGGTCAGAGATTTCGACAGGCAAAGTATTTATTCCATTTATGTTCAAGGAAATCAAAGTTTTCTTCTGATAATCTTTTTAGGGTTTTGTTGGATGAGTATGATTTACTGTACTCTTAGCAAGTTAGTGCCAGTGGTGTAATGAGCAAAAAAAAATTTGGGTCAGAACAAAATCGGCATCACCATGAAAGGGAAAATTAAAGAAAAAGGGTTCTAAGTCACGTTGAATTCGAGGTGAATGTTATGGAGAAAGGAAAAGTAGGCACTTATCAAAGGGAAAAGGACAGTAAGTAGAAAAGAAAAGGTGCCTTTGTCACAGTAAAAAGGGACACTCAACAGAGATGAAAGGCACTGGTGAGAATGGAAATGGGGAATCTGTTGAAGGAAAAAGGCACCTATCAGATTTTAATAGGGGCATTTATCAGATGTTTAAAGGGGCATTTTGGAAAGGGGAGAGGCTCATATAAAAAAGAGGAAAAGATGCACTTATCCGAAGGAAATAAGGTACTTTATTAGAAAGGAAAAGAGGCACATATCAAAATAAAAGGGGCACTTATCTGAGGTGAAAAGTGGCATTTAAGAAAAAAGGTCATGCACATCTTCACTGAGCTCTATGTTATAAGATACAGATATGTGAAGTGTATTGCACTTTATATCATCATAAAAAAGCCAGCACAGTTTTGCCTCTTTATATCTGAATGAATGAGGTTTAACCAGTCCTCAAACTTCTCAATGTTTGTTGTTCTTGTGTATACAGGAGATGCTGCAGTTCCAACAGCAACAAGCCCTGCTGAAGATGCAGGAGCAGGAGAGAGAGAGACAGGTTTGGCTGGAGCAACAGAAACAACAGCAACAGATGAGGCAAATACAATACACAGCCTATGGCATGGGTGGTAAGTCATACTTGATCTGTTTGCCCTTTCACTTGGTACTCCTAATTCATCCTCTTTTTTCTCTTTTTGTAGATATAATTTCTTTTTATGTTGTTTCTGTAAATTCTATTTTTCTTACTTCCTCTCTTATTGCTCTTATCGCATACTTTTGTTATGTACTCACTTTTCTCACCAGATTGTCTGTGTTTCTCTCCTGCCCTTCTTATTCGTCATCCTGTTCTTGTTTATAATTTGTACTCTCTCATTGTTTTCTTTTCCTATTTGAGTTCTGCCATTGCTGCTTGGTTTATCCAAAGGGTTATTGTATTTTTAATCCCTAGTCTAATGCAAAATATGTGTATTTTGTATCCCTAGTCTAATGCAAAATATGTGTATTTACTACAGACCAAAGAAGAGGATTCTAAGTGTCTGCTTTATCTATACTGTGAGGAAGGTTTTGCTAACGACTGTAAGGTCACAAATTCACAATTATTAGTTACCTATTGCCTGGATTATTCTTGTAGTTCAACGTGCAGGTTGCAATATAGTTTACAAATATTCATTTAAGTAAATGCATTGGTCAGGCATGGCCATTTTCGTACCAAAATGTCCCTTTTACAGAGTCACACACTTCATGTTGTTTATTAAACAAATATTGACTACTAATATGTTGAGTCATGCTTACTTAGCCCCTTACTTCACCAGGCATATATGTAGCACAGTTTGAGATCATCTCAGGCAAAAATGTTATCTTAACCAAAACATTCACCATTTATGATATATGTCATAGCTACACACTTTTTTTTTAGAAGGAGGTTTGGATTGAGGTTTTTAGAGTCTGTATGCATGAGCCCTATGTAAACATTTCCAAACTTGGCGAAAATCATCCAATGACGATGGAAACGCCATTAATCTCAACAACAACAAGGGGTCCAGATTTAGATTCTGGGTGCCTGTGTGTCCCAGGTGCATGTTAGCACTATCATTATGATGTTCACCATTTATTGTAGGCATGAATCAGCCTGGTATGATGACTCAAGGTGTTATGGCGCCCCCACCAGGTGGAATGCAACATGCTCCTCCTGGCCAGTATGTACAGCAACCACAGGTAAGTGTACTGGATCAATGCACACAAGTAGATGTGGGTATTGTATTCTAACCACCAGCTGAGTGTATCATCACAGTGTTTATTTGAAGAGAAGACACTCCTGATTTCTCTACTTCCCATATACTTAATACAGAGACCATCCCGTTCCAATCTATAGACAGTAGGCTAAGAAATGGATATTCATTTATGTTCTCAGAGAAATTTGTGTGGGGAATCACAGTTTTTATACAGAAATATTTAGATGAAATAAATGTATATTTATAAATAAAATAATCAGGCCTCTCATTATTTTGGTTGGTCTATCAGTGCTTAATTGGAGGGACAGTTGTCTCATTTTGTTAATTGCATCATATGCTTGTTTGTTTGATTTTTGATTTTTTTTTTTTTTTGATTTATTTTTTTTTTGATTTATTTTTTAAGGGGCGGGGGGGAGTTGTGTAATGCTGTCTGTACAGTGCAAGAAGGGATATTAATTTTTTTATTTGAATGCCCTTCTAGCTTCAAAGAGAAGATATATATTTAATTTAGTGTGCTTCAAAATTAACAAACATTGAGAGACAAGAAGATTTATGTCCTTTGAAATGATAGCATTTTCACAATGCTGCTGTTCTTTATTTCAGTATGGGTCCCCCTCCCATGCCCCCTATGGGATGGCCCCACCCCAGGGGAGTTACCCCAGTGGTCCACCCTCTACCACCCAGATGGATGCCGGCCAGCCAACCACCCAGGTGGGTTACAACCAGCCTCCATCAGGCTACCAGGTACCGCTCCAGCAACAACACCATCAACCTCCACCACCACAGCAACAACCTCCACCACCACAGCAACAACAACTGCCACCCCAACAGCAGCAGCAACAGTACCAGCAACCGATGCCTGGTGGTGGAGGATATCCTCCTGGGCAATATGGTGCACCTTCCCAGCAACAACAGCAGCAGCAACAGCCGCAACAGCCTGGTAGCATGAATCAAAGCTATGGGTCACCACTCTCCTCGCTTGAATATCAGCAACAGCAGCAGCCGCCGCCGCCTCCACAACAACAGCAGCAACAAGGAGGCAACCCCTACAACATGCAAGCTGTGACCGGTGCTCTACCACAAGGCCAGGTAACACCACAAGGGCAATACGGCTCACCAGCACCGCAGCAACAGTATCAACCACAGGGACAACAGCAGATGATGGGTGCAGGTGGCATGCAGATGGTACCACCTGGTATGCAACAACAGCAACCACCCCCTGGCATGCAACAGCAACAGCCACCTCCTCCTCAGCAACAAGAGGGCACACTGATTTCCTTCGAATAAAAAAAAAAATCTTATCAATTTGTATGTTGATGAGCATGTTCATTCACTGATATCCCCAAGAGGTATTGTACCTGCATATCAAAACATAAATATCCAATATTAATTTACACTTTGTTTACTTTTCTCTTTTTTTTCTTCTCTCTTTTAACAAACTGCCACTCCCATAATTAAATGGTGTACCTACTCTTTACCTACGAATACACATGGATCAAAATTTTCAATCATGAGCATGTTTGTATTTACATATATGACGCAGTTTCTTTGGAGAAAAAAGTAATTTAAGGATTACACATTAAGTAGTATTCTAAAAATCTTGTTGTCCTAATGCTTAGTGGTCATGTAGAGGGTACTATATGTTTTTGTAATCAATCAGTAAAAACGCTGTAAATTCTAACATATCATGGTGAATGAATAACATTGCTGAGTTTATTTGCTCAAGTTTTACAGGGATGGGGATCTGTAAGTAGCATCCTTGTATGTATAAATGGAACAAACTTTTGTGAAGCATTACCCTTGCAAGGGAAAAGAAAAGCACTGGTGTTGTTGGAAGGAATGCATGTTTATACCATATATCTAGTGAATGTTTGAATGTAGTACAAAATTTATTTTATAGTGCTTGAATACATCAGGGCTCATAGGGATGACAAGTATTTGGATTTCTGATCGAATTCAACCTACCGCCAAAACAATGTTAGATAGTAGAGGGCTTCCTTTCTCCCACACTTTGCAGGATCCATCTGGAAAGAGGATGAGACAAGGTTTCTTCATGCTTCCATAGACAATATACAGCAGTGTCAACAAAGTCCTGATTTTACCAAAATATTGTTCTGGTTTCATGAAGTCCCCCAATGATTTCATAAGATCTATGTGGGCAAGATCATAATCTGTAGCTTATATTTTATTGGCTATTAAACTATCGTTTGTCTTAGACTTTCCCGTTTTTGACCCATGGTATTTGTATGGGATCCTGAAATGCCTTTACCACATAAACCCATGGCCAATGCTGCCCTCTATGGCTGAATACTGTATTGACGAAAGTGAAAATGTGTAACTCCATGAATCTGTTTTCTCCATTTCTCTGTATGTTTAATCTTCTTCAGAAAAGAATCCTTTAAAAAAATGGTTTTTAGTAAAGTGAGGTTACTGGTATAAAGTTAAATTGGTTTAAACATAGTTGCATTTTATTTTGATAGGGAGTGTCATGAACATTTGGAGAATTCCATGTCATGAGAGTTTGAATCCAGCATAATTATCTTCCTTTTTTGGCTGTATAGCCTTTCATTTAGTAGTGAAAATTAAATAATCATATATATATACAAGTAATGCGAAAGTAAAGGATGAAAAGTTGAGATCATGTCTCAATGTTGACTGTGGGATTATTCAAGAATTTTATAGGAAGAAAATATACCAAGATACAGTGTATAAATAATAGTCATTGTTTTAACTTTCATTATATGTATATTTTAAGTCAATTAATAAACGTACTAGTCAACCAGAACAACATGGCAGTTCATTTACTATATCAAGTCATAGTGTAATAATGTTACCAATCCATAGTTACTCAAATCTGGACTTTCTGAGTCACATGGATTATGAAAATAAATGTGATTACAACATTTTCTGTGAACTAATGTATTCTAAATGCATGTGGGGATTAACTTGCAATATTATCGTGTCAATGGCTTGTGAAGATGAGTAATTAAATAAATATGAGTCTTAGAAGGCATTAATTATTCAAATTTATGATATTCTTGTGGTCATTACAATAAAAAAATAAAAAATTGTTTGTCCATATATGCATTTGAATGTGTACATAGTAATGCCAATCCGATCATCATGATGGTGTCCTCATTTCAAAGTCCAATGATGGTCGTATTATAGGGGAAATCCCAAATGGTACGATTTTGCTTTTGAATATTAAACAACAACTAAAACAAAGTTTCCCATTAACAGCATAATATCCATGAAATAATAGTCAAATATTTATTCCCAGAATAATGTGGAGGAAAAAAATGGCAGTACTTGGCACGTTTTGCTATATTCATTTACCAAGTATAACATATATTTATGTAAACAAAATTTCCAGTAGGCTCGAACATAAATTCTAAAAAGCCTGAAAATATTTGTTGGGGGCCAGAGTTTCATTGCAGAACATGACGACAACCCTCCCCCTCCAAAAAGTTTTTTTTTTTTAAACACAAAATTAAAAACAAAACTCAAACACAAAATTTCAACATTTTACATATTGGGATGATAGTAGCCATTTCTCCTGAGTGCAATACTAAATGGATGTAGAAATGCAAATGGTTTAAATCTCTCAATGTTAAAACATGTGGGTTTAAACTTTTAATTTTTTAGCTCACCTGAGCCAAAAGGCTCAAGTGAGCTATTGCAATCTTATTTTTTTTTTTTCATTTAATATTCTGTTGATTTCATACCAAGGTATGGTATGGTATGGTATTGGATTCTGGCTAAACATTGTAGAAATCATTTTTATGTCAAGAAGACTTCAATTTGTTTGATAGGGATACCTCTGCCCCTGAAGGGGAAACGGGAACTCTACCCCTAAATTGCCCTACTGTTCGAATAAATGAGAAGCGGCGCTCCCGGGTGGGGGGGGGGCACAGTGCCCCACCCGTTTTTCAATAACCCAAAAGTGCCCCTTTTTACATAGGTAAGTGCCCCCTTCCCTCTGATAACTACCCTTGCTCAAATCTGAGAGGTTCCCCTCTTACTTTGACGAATGCCCCTTTTCTTTTTTAAGAAGTGCCCTGTTTTCATATCTCTGATGAGTGCCCCTTTTCAGAAGCGAGAAGTGCCCCACTATCACCTCTGATAATTGCCCTTTTACTTTGACAATTGTTCCTTTCTTTTCCAATAAGTGTCCTTTTCCCTGTTGATAAGTGCCCCCATTTCCTTTCACCATGAAATGTGCCCCTAATTTAAACCATCTGAGAAAAACTTCATTTCCCCCAAAGCTCACTCACTACACTTGCTCGAATTTAAAGTTGATATCTTTTCAGTCTTTCATGACTACAGATTGTGCTAAAAAACCCATCAGGATCGTTTTTTCGCCCTTTATAAGATGTAATTTTTCACACTGTGACTTCAATTTTTTTAAATTTTTTTGCTCTCTTGCTTTGCTCGCTCACAAATAGATATGCCATCACACCCAACTGCAAAGCACGATGCTTAAGCAGTATCTTGGACCATGTAAAGAGAGAAACATATATTGAAATCATCCCTGATGTAATCACAATGTCTACAAATTGTATATTTTTGTTTTGAGGTATCCCTTTGTAGGTGCCCCCTTTTTCCGTAAAGTGCCCCCTTTTGTCGGTGCCCCCCTCCACTTTTACAGATTCGGCACCGCCCTTGCAATAAATCCAATGCTCCTGGTGCAAAGGGGATGGAAGCTAGGTCCCATATTATGAAACCCCTATTTTCGTTGGCTCAGGTGAGTGTTAGGTACGCGGACCTTATATTGTTTTTGTTTTGTATGGGTTTCATGTGTGTATCACGAACAAAACATAGGTGCTGCTTTTCTTACTGTTACGGTCAAAAGTCCAGGTAAAATTATAATCCAAGAAATGTTTTAATTCTAATAATAGAAGGGAAAACATATCAACTAATTCCCCCCCCCCTCTCTCTCTCTCTCTCTCTCTCTCTCTCTCTCTCTCTTTCTCTCTCTCTGTATATAATTATGTATATATAATTTGCCTGTAACCACTAAGATTTATCCTTTTCAATACAAAATGTAGGTGTGCATTCATTCCATCTCTCTCTCTCTCTCTCTCTTTCTCTCTCTCTCTCTCTCTCTCTAGACAGCTTCGTCCTTCCCTTTAACAATATCTGCATGTATATCGATACCTCTCTTACATTGTTATTTCCTCAGGAAGTCTAAATGTTATTTTTAAACACATTTTCATACAAATTTAGTTTCAAGTTTAAGGTAGCCATAATTATCAGTTTTCCATATTATCAGGATAATCTTGTTTAATCTACATTAGTTGGCCTAATGAGTGATTCTTCTCTCAAGTCAGAGGGCGCTTATAATTAGAGCTTATCTGTTTATCAGTGATAACCTAAGGTAGGGTCGAGAGGGGGTGTGTACAAAACAGTTTTATTACACGCATATAGAAGTACAAGCCTACATGGGTAAGTCGCAAAACATTCTAGTATAGCCTATTTAGTGCATTTTCGGTAAACAGATGGTAACGAGTGATTTTATATTATTATATTGGATGTGTGTATCTAAATTTATTTACTTTTGCAGATTTTTGTAGATGTTCCAAATATTAAACCGATATTAAAATCGACTTGATTCAACATTTGCTGACACAATGTATAAAAACGAGAGTTGTACATGATTGTGACAAGTTGGGTGCTCCTATATTCCGTCTATGGTCCGGTGTCTGGTTTTAGGGTCAGGGTTAGAGTTAAGAGTAGTGCTAAAAATGAAGTTACTATACACCGAGTAGCAAATGCCGCCGAAACATTACAGTGTTCGTCGTACAAGCAATACATTGATAAGATATTGTTTCGAGTGGATCAATCAGGCGCGGATCCAATTCGACGGGGCCGATTCGACGTACCCGCCCGCCCCTCTTCCTAGCCCAAAATAACGGTTACAAAATAGGATAGGAACGGAAATGTTACCCTTTTTAAACAAAAAACCAAAAGCGGCCCCCCAGATCCCCCCCCCCCCCCCCAAAAAAAAAAAAATGCTCTTACCCCCTGCTTTATTCACCGGCCGGCTGAGTCGCCGCTAAATATTTTCTCAAGATTTCCTCTTGCTGCCGGCTGGATCCGCCCCTGGTTCAAATACATCACTATTTTGAGCTAAAGGGTATTTAATGACCATGTAATGTAACCAATCGATGGTACAAATTAGACAAACTATAACGGTGCATGTATAGGTCTATACTAATATATCAATTAGTCAAAGGAAATTCAGAAAAGTGCTGTCACATGATGGCCAAGCAGGATGTTTGTGTCGTTTTCCACGGTTTGTGATATAGTTTTCCTGACCATGTCATTTTGATACAGGGAAGCAAGAGAAAACGTAAAAGAAAAACCGATGTTGTGCCGGTGTAGTGCCTAATTTCATCAGGTAATGAATAACTAAAACTAGCCAGTGTGATGAGAATTTCTGTGTTGGCTTTCATTGAATCTGTGTAGGCCAAAGCTATACCCTGCTTTAATCTGCTTATAGTTTCTAGCACTTGACTGCATCGATTTTCCTTTGAAGCCCGTCTGTACTAAATTGGCCAGGGGGATTAGACCACCCATCGACGACACTGACAGGTGGCTATCTCATCAACTCGGCTCTCAATTAACATAAGAAAAAGAGGATCATGGGGGACCAACGGGCACCGTTAGGCATTTGTTTCTATATTAGAGGGAGCAAGTAGCTACAAAAGTGTTATCACATGATGGCCAAGCAGGATGTTTGTTTCGTTTTCCACGGTTTGTGATATAGTTTTCCTGACCATGTCATTTTGATACAGGGAAGCAAGAGAAAACGTAAAAGATAAACCGATGTTGTGCCGGTGTAGTGCCTAATTTCATCAAGTAATGAATAACTAAAACTAGCCAGTGTGATGAGAATTTCTGTGTTGGCTTTCATTGAATATTGTGTAGGCCAAAGCTATACCCTGCTTTAATCTGCTTACAGTTTCTAGCACTTGACTGCATCGATTTTCCTTTGAAGCCCGTCTGTACTAAATTGGCCAGGGGGATTAGACCACCCATCGACGACACTGACAGGTGGCTATCTATCAACTCGGCTCTCAATTAACACAAGAAAAAGAGGATCATGGGAGACCAACGGGCACCGTTAGGCATTTGTTTCTATATTAGAGGGAGCAAGTAGCTACAGTGGGGCTGTTGATACGTTGATCGTATCTGCATTTTGATCAATCGTACATTCCATTATATACTTTTCTTAGAAAGAATATACATGCTTACTATGCCGTGGGTGTGAAATTTCTTGGTAACGGTACATTTCACCTTCTTTTTCTTTCTATTACATTATATTTTTTAATTGGTTTTGTTTAGATTTGTTTTGTCTTATTCTGTTGTGTATTGATTTGTTTTTGTTTTTGTTTATGTTTTTTAGTTAAGCCTATTTTTTTTTTGCTCCGTTGTTGCTTTGTTTATTTATTTTATGGAAAATTTGCGTTGCCATATTTCCATGCATTTGAACAAACATATCTATACACAGTGGTGAAAGGCTCTAGTCTTGAGCTTAGTATCAACAAAGGGCCATTGTCTTGAAGATGTCTCAGCCAATTAGTGCATCAGATGGGGAGTATGATGTCATTGTGATAGGGGCGGGGCTTTCCGGTCTCACAGCGGCTTATCAACTTAGAAACACTATCCCAGGATGCAAGGTGATCGTGCTAGAAGCAAAAGGTTTGTTACTGCAATATTCGATATTATTATTTAATTTCATCTTATAATCAATACTGGTATTGGTAAAAAACAAAACAAAAACTAAATTTAAAATAGTTAGGGAAATATTTCAGACAAGATTAAATTAGAGCCCACGTTAGTGATGTAGTTGCTTGTTTCTATAATAGTAGTATTATAATTACTCTCTATTTCTCCGTCTCCAACTCACTTTCCCCCTCTCTGTCTGTCTCTCTCTCTCCCTCTGTCCCTGTCTCTCACTTTCTTTCTCTCTCTCTCTGTCTCTCTCTGCCTCCCCCTCTCTCTCTCTCTCTCTCTCTGCCTCTCTCTCTCTCTCTCTCTCTCTTTCTCTTTCTATATATATATCTCTCTCTCTATATATATATCAGTTTCCTCTCGTTCGCTAGCTCGCTCGCTTGCTCGCTCCCTTTGTATTCTGACTGTTGTTACATGGTAATGGAGAAGTGTATTTTGCTCTTATTTTAGAACAAAAATATAAGCTGTAGTTCCATAATTTTATCTGTAATTTGCCTCTTGCCGTTCAATCAATAACAACTACGTCTATTACGCTAGTATTAGAGCTGAAATCTTAAAGATGATGAGAGAATCAGGTTTCTTTCAACCGTTTTTCCTCACATCACATGGTGTACTGTGCCTTACAGATAGGATTGGAGGAAGAACCTTAACAGTGCCGCTCAAATGCGCCGGTGGGACTGACTATTGGGACTTAGGAGGACAGTGGGTCTGCAGGTATCAAGTCTAATTGCATTTCAAAAGTTCATTTAGTAAAGACTCCGTTTTTGTTCGATATCTCTCGTGTCAATATTGATCTACACACACGCTTTCATGCACATTTTCATTTTCCACTTCTATATTGTACTGCACCCATGTTCTTTCTTGATGTACACCACCCCTTCCCCCTTTCCCTTCTCGACCAGTCTCTCTCTCTCTCTCTCTCCCTCTCTACCTCCGTTTCACTCTCACGCTTATTTGATAAACTCTAAAACATAGAATCTAAATAGCCGTTCTTTATGTCCCTTCAAACTCGACAAAGTGGGTTATATATTCAAGTACTCATATTCATGCTATCCGTATAATGAATAGCGACCTTCACGTCGTATTATGAATAGCGGGCCTCACGAGTACTGACCCCAACGTAAATTATGAATAGCGCCCCTTCTTAATGTTTATTAATAGCGGCCCCGATTTCGTATTAGGAATAGGAGTGGTCCTCATGAGTAAGGACCCTCAATATGAATTATGAATAGCGACCCTCGTCTCACAATATTTCATTTCATTTCTTTTCATTTTTATCTTATCATTTCCAACAATATACAATACATAATAACGAATACAATGTAAAATGTATACAAAACATAATTACATTTGTAATAAACAAATCTTAACAGTAATTCATACATTTGAGGAAGAAAAAAATTGAATTATAAATTTAATTGCATTTATATTTTGAGGAAATGGAGAGGTCCACTGAAAAGCAGGGCTTGTAAATTGTGGACCCCTCAATTATGAATAGCGGCCCTTACGAATAACGGTCCTTAATTATGCCTTTATAAATGGTGACCCCCTTTCCGTTTTATGAATAACGGTCCTTATGAATAGCGAGGTAACCCCCCCCCCCCCCGATTTACAGTAGTGCCCTCTTGGAAGAAATATTACGACGTTCATTTCTTATGGATGGTTGTATAGCAACCCAGAAACACAAACCAGGAGTTCCTTTCATCCCTCGCATTTTCATTCCTTATCTTTCAGAACCCAACACCATATTCTCTGGCTTCTGAAGGAATTGGGAATGGGACAATACCCTCAGTTCACCGATGGTACCAAACTCCAGCAGAGCGGGAATAGTGCAAAGCCAATGATTAGAACTTACGAGAGTGAAATACCGTCGCTGCCGCTTCATGTTCTTCTCGATCTCCTCAATTTTGAAAGAAAGGTAATGCACAGGCCTATTGTGAAACGTATTCTCATGTACGAATGAAAAATCAAGAACTAATTCCTCTGCTAAAATCCAAAATCTAGAAATCATCCAAATGTCCAAGGTCAAGATTCGAATCCTGTCACTTTACGTTCTTGTGATATCTTACAAATGAGGGATTCAGTAATTTGGGATGGTTTAATCGATAACGTATCCAACTCCTGACACCGAAAATAAATTTGAAGGAATAGTTCAAATTGAGCATTTTTGTCTCGTTTTTGCCCCCGTGAATTTGAAAATCGCGAAGATCATTTTTTCGCTCAGTGGGAGGGGGGGGGGGGGGGGTGGTGAGCACTAACTACAACAAATTATATAAAACCAATCTTTCTTCTTTTGTTAATTAATTAATTAAAAAATAATTTTAAAAAAGTCCGGGGGGGGCCGGGCCCCTACCCCCGTGGATCAGCGCCTAGTCATAACCTTTTTTTTAATAAAAATTGTATGAATGAAAATAAAAGTAACTCACTGCTGATGCCCAAAATAGAGTTTATAGTTTGAAGGTAAAAATTACAGTTCAATCATCATTTCTTCAAAGTATTTTGCGTATTTTTATTCCACTGAAGAAACTTAAACGAGTCTTCTCTTCTCGAAAGATAGGGTAGAGCAATTAGGAGGAAAGAGTTTTAGAACAGGAGACCTTGACGTGATATGCCAGGACAAAATGAGACAGAAGCCTCATTGCTTATATTCAAGTTGTTTGCTTCGAGCTAATTGACTATTCAAATAAGGGTATTAATGTTCTGTATTTTATCCATCTTTGAAGGCCGATAGCCTTGCACGAGATATACCCTGTGATGCGCCATGGAGAGCCAAAAATGCAGATGATTATGACAGCATTACCTTTGAACAATTTCTCGCCAGAGAAACATGGACACAAGGTTCGTTTATATTTTTCATTCAGTTTGTTATCTTCGCTCCCATATTCGTCTCACCCGTCCCTTTATTAGTTATTTAATTGGCTTACTTATTTTTTTACCTTCGTTCCCTTCTCCGTCACCTTTGCTCTCTTATTTTTGCCATCTTCTCTCTTATACTTATCCTTGCAGGGGCCAAGGACGTAGTGGAAGGAGGCTTCGAGGTCGTCAATGGTTCTCGAGGCAGGGGTCACAGCGCCCTCAATTATCTTTTCTATATCAGTTCGGGCATTAGCAACAAGAGTCTCTACGACAACAAGAATGCTGGAGCACAGGAGAGTAAGATAAAGGTCAGAATAGCATTGAACTAGCAGGCGCGTAGCCAGGGGGGCGGTGGGGCGGTCGCCCCCCCCCCCCAAAAAAAAAAAAAAAAACGCCGGCCAAAAAAAAAAAAAAAAAAAGAGAGAAAAAAAGAAGAAAGGAAGAGGACGTAGGAAGAAAAAGGATTAACCCTATTTAGCCCGGGGGGGGGGGGGCTTGAGAAGCCCCCCCCTCGACATTTTTCGCGATAATTTTTTAACGCAAGAAAATCTTGCACTGAAATTTTGTGACTTTTTTCTTTCGAGTCTTGCGCATCTTTTGAAAGAAATTTTTCGAAAATCGGACCTACCATTACGAAGTCACGTGTCCTTTTGTCTTTGCATGTCAGCCCGAAAATCGCTCATTTTTGTGATTTGTGTACAAAACATATGTAAATCTCATTTTTCAAATAAAGAGATAAAACATTGGTTATTTGGTCTTGTTTATAGTTTAGGTGTTTATTTTTGGGTCAAAATAGTTGAATTATAGTTGGAAATGAAATAAAACAACAAAAACAATAAAATACATAACTTAAAAAAAACAAAGAAATACATAAGAAATTATCAAAACAATAGATAACATAAGGAATAACCCTGGTTTTTCAATTTTTTGTGTTGTATTATTATTCCAAATGGTCTAACAAATATATGTAGTGAGAAAGAATGCTTAAATATGAATAATGTCTGATTTATGGGCAAAAATGTGAATTTTATGACCTTATTTGCATAAATTACCATAAATATGCAAATGAGTGAATTTTTCAAAAAATTGAAATTACCATAGTATTCTATACACTTCACTTGACATGTATGCAAATTTTCGCGGCGATCGGGCGTTTCACGGCCGAGATCATAGGGGGGGGCCTGAGAAGCCCCCCCCCTGGGCTATGCAGTTTCAAAATAGCCCGGGCTAAATAGGGTTAAGAGTCGAGAACGGAACAACGAATCGTCTTCTTTCTTTAATTAATTAATGAAACGTAAAAGCTTCCGCGCTTCGCGCGGGAGGGGAGGTGGGAACTGAATTCAGATGAGGATTAAGAGTCGAGAACGGTACAACAAATCGTCTTCTTTCTCTAATAATTTATGAAACGTCAAAGCTTCAAATCGAGGGGGGGGGGAGGAACTGAATTCAGACAAGGATTTAGAGTCGATCGAGAATGATACAACGAATCGTCTTCTTTCTTTAATAATCTCATAAAACTTCAGAGCTTCCGCGCTATGCGCGGAGGAAGGGGAACTTGATTAAAAAAAAGGATTAAGAGTCGAGGACGGTACAACGAATCGTCTTCTTTCTCTAATGAAACGTCAAAAGAAACTGAATTTAGATAAGGATTAAGAGTCGAGAACGGTCCAACGAATCGTCTTCTTTCTCTTAAAGTTTGATGAAACCTCAAAGCTTCCGCGCTTCGCGAGGAAGGGGGGAAACTCCCCCCTCCCTGCACCAACCCCCTAGGGAGCGCGCTACGCGCGCTCAGTGATTCGCACGCTTCGCGTGCTCACTGCCGCCCCCTAAAAGGAAATCCTGGCTACGCGCTTGTGAACTAGTCCATATCAGAGCTAGTCAGCAGGCAGTTGTAACCAGTGCTACTTATCATCAGGCGCGTACGCAGCGGGGGGGGGGGGGGGTGGGGGTTGAACCCCCTCATCTTTTGTATGTGTGTGATTTATGATGAACCCCCTCTAAAAAAAAAAAATATTAAAAAACAAACTTTTTATTTTTTTGTAGAAAAGGGTGACCCCCCAAAAAAGTGACACCTCCCCCCCCCCCCTGATTCGTTGCGAAATTTTTTGGACAAAAAAAAATGGGTTCTTACCCCCTATTTATTGAATCAATTAAACAAAAAATAAAATGTAGGAAGTCGAGTCCATAAAAGAACACATTGTCAATTGAATCCATTGTCATGAAGGAGGTTCATCCGTTGTTTAGAAGTGCCACTTGAGTTTTGATATATTATTGTACTTGAAGCTGTAAATGTAGTACATACTTACATGTAGTTTAATTATTAACGCTGCAGTCAATCCAGTTCGTGTGGATTCGAACTCGAACTCTTCATCAGATTCTACAAAAATCTAAGTAATATAATACTTAATTTTCGACCCGTCCTGACAATAGCCTTTTTTAACTGTTGCTATTGAGATTTTTTTAAATTAGCTTCGTTAAGAATGTGTAGTTTGAGAATTATTCCCTATCTTTTTTGGATGATGACCTACTGCCGTTTCTTTTAAATTTTAACCCAATGACACCACTACCTTTAATTTTCTCTAAATATATCTCACGTGTAGGGAGGGGCACAGCCCTTGAGCATTAAACTACAAGAAAGACTTGGTCAGTCCAATGTCCTTCTCTCTGAACCAGTGGTCAGCATTGACCAAAGCTCAAGGTCAGAGGTCAAAGTCCGAACCCTCTCAGGGAAATCCTTCACCTGCAAATACGTCATCAACTCAATCCCCATGAACTGTTCAGGTAGGCTGTTTCTTATGTGAGATTATTAGGAAAGTATTCCCTTAGTTTCCTTATTTTAACAATAGTACATGTATGATCTTTATTATTAATTCATTTTTTATTTTAAAATAGTTTTTTTGATTTTAGTGTTTAAATATATACATTACAACACAATAAAAACTGAACCACACATAACGAGTGCAAGTTTCAAATCCAGGAAGCTGATACAGCGGAGACAAGAATTGGTTCAATAAACTTTGGAAATTGATTACTTCTTAATCATTGAAAAACGGCCTTTGCAAAGTTCTAAAAGTTTGTTTCCTTTATTTGCAGTCTGATAACTTCTCTTTGGTGATCAATTAGTATCCAAAGATCAACAAACTTTGCAATAAACCCATTATTTAGCTGCATTGGCAAATTTTTTTATTTTTAATTTTTTTTTTTTTAAAGTTATGTTTAACTGTATTTGAATACATAATGTGGCTGTTCATTTTAAAATAAGTACATTATTAATTTGTTCATATAGACATGGAAAATGAAATTGAGGGTATCACATTTGTGAAGGAAATGAGACAAACAAAATGAAACACGGGCCATTGGACAGGTTTCTTCCTCAAATACACCAAATTTACACAGTTTGACTTTTTCTTTTTCTACTCCTATTTTCAACATTAGTGTCTATACAATACCTTCCAGAGCCTCCATCAAAAAGACATATGTTTATAGGTCACACAAAAGTTGGGAACCTGTTGAAGTTCATCGCAACGTACAAAACAGTGAGTTTTACATTGTAGATATCTTTATCACAAAGTCTTTATGTATACTATCAATAAAGATCAATTAGAACATTCTAGTTCGAGAAAAGGTCCAAGGAATACTTGAAGTCCTTACTCTAAAGCTTGACATTAAAAGTGATGGAACGTCAATTCAAATGGTCAAAAGCTTCTCCAAATGACTCATTTTAATGATACAACTACATACTCAACATGATTTTATGAAATAAGGCAGTACAAATTAGTCCCTTCATATGGAGTTGTGTTGTTTTGGAAGGAATCTTCAGATGTGAATGATATTAGTAGAATCTAGTAATTAATACATCAATAGCTTGAGTCAAGTTTACAAAGCTCAAAATATTCACAAAATTTCTTCAAAACTCTGCTCTACAGAGAGTAAACGAAAGAAAACGATGAGTAGATCAGCATCTAGCCAGAATCGAACTCACAAAATTGAAATAGAAATTCATAAGTGAGAAGTGCATTTAAGGAAAATCCAACCTTAAATGACAAGTACTATACAAGCAAATAGAAATATCAAAGGAGCAGACTGGTGAAATTTGAATGAAATCAGATATAACAAAATAAAGTTATTAATTTTTGAAAGTTGTCATCACTATACGTATGGGCACTTCAAATCAACTAATTGGCAATGTCACTGTAATGTAGTGCCGGACAACTTTTCCACTTGTTCCTATACACAAAATTATTATAATGTCAATTTTTAACAATCTATTACTCGGGAGGGTCTTTCCCTTTTTGCTTGGTACTTTTGTGAAAGTGTCATAATGTGCCTACAAATTTAAAATGCAATGATTTGTTTTCCGCATAGGCATTTTGGCGTGACAAAGGCTACTCTGGTGAGATCTTCAACATGTCAACCAATGATGGTAGCAACTATCGAGGACCGTTGCTCTATGTTGCAGATGCAACATCACCTAACGATAGTCCTGCCTTAGTTGGGTTTATTAACAACCCACTATATTGGGGCAACGTAGAGGTAAGATAATATGTGTTTCTAGTGATCATCTTGTCCCAACCCTGGTGATTTAAATAACGTCATCATCAGTTAATGCCTTCTAAAAGAATTTCGACAGTCTCTGTCCCAAGCTTGTTTTCTAGGACATTCGTCATAATTTTATCTGGCTCAGTCGTATCTTAATGTTGTCAAACCGGTTTATTGTAGAGTGTAGCGCCTCTTGTCCGTTTCTCCCGTAATCCAAGCCTGGATGTTCATTGTACTAAACTGAGATAAGATAACACTCCATTAATATTGAGAGTGAATATAAAATTTTAACAAATGTCCTCTAGTTCATACGATTGCTATCAATATCAAATTCCATTTGATAGGATTGCAAGAGAAAAAATGCTATTCTGCAGCACCTTGCAACATTTCTGGGATCTGAAGCTTTGACACCAATTGACTTCATGGAGAAGGTACAGTATTTCGTTGACGATCGGACGCAGTTAAGTCTTTTGTCAATTCTGCTTGTTGCTACGGCAGGCAGCTAGTGAAAACGAACTGTTTAAATCAAATTATTGAAATGCAAGCACCACTTTAAACAAACAGACCTTTGTTATTCCTGGCTCATTTTTCCTGATTGAGGTCTCATATGAAAGGGCAGAAACTGAACTTTCTAGAAATGTGAATTCATTTCTTCGAAATTCAGATACGGCCCTCCAAATGACTTTTGGGTTTCCTTTCTTCAAATTGCTTTTAATCACTCATGCGTGAAATGTGCTTCATATGAGTTGCATCAAATGAAAGAGGAAGATATTATTAAGATCTAAGCTTTACAAATGTGTGTCATTTATTAATTATAATTGTGATTAAGTTATGATAAAACATTGATAATTCTCGGTTTCGTTTTTTCTGGGTCACACTGTATATATTGTTTAATAGAAAATGACTGACGTTATCCTTTTTGAAAGTAAAATGAATACCGACAGTAAAAGTGAAAAATATACTGGTAACAGTAAGATATGAGTTAGAGGTTTAACCAGATCTACTCTACGTACGAGCTTGTCGATAATGTACAAAAAAGTCGGTTTTGATTATAATAAGTTTGTCTTTAATGTATAATTAGCATTGGGCCAAAGAACCTTACAATGGGGGATGTCCTACAAATATGATGATGACTGGTGCTGCCGAGTACTGGGATGAAATCAGAGTGCCTTTCCATCGGTAAGCATATCATTACTGTCGTGAATCTAAACATTGAAGAAAAAAATGAACTCATGCATAATCATAATTATGATTCCCCCGATCGAGTGTTTGTATGTACAATTGATATAAAATAAACGTAAAATCAAACAATATGTTATGCATATTAGTTGGTTCACAGTATTCACTCAAGGTGCTTTTATACGACAGCTCATCGTGTAGCGATCCAACATACTGCATTTCATGTCATATACCAATTGAGTATATAATAGGAATTAGGAGGTTAGTAGTACTAACGTCACATCATAACTGCCTTTCAGAGTACACTGGGCGGGTACCGAGACTGCCACGCACTGGATGGGTTACTTGAGCGGCGCTGTACAGTCCGGTCTACGAGCTGCAGATGAGATAGTCAACATGCTTACAACCTCTGAGGAATCAAAAGGCAACAGTTCAGATCTACTGCAGTCACTGGACAATCTAGGGGATGTAGACCGGAGATCAGAGGTCAGCTGGACGAGTTGGGGAGTGTCGGGGTTGTGGACCTTGGGGAAGATTGGTCTGGGATTGGTTGCGGCCGGTTTGGTAACTGCTGGAGTTCAGGCTTTGCTACAAGCAGATTGATGGGAGACCGAGGTGCTGCGAGAAGATTTTAGTAATGTGAATATATTTTTTTAATCATTACTTTGGAATAGCGCCAATTTCGTAAACAACAAATATTAGAAACCGCTAAAGTAAGTGATTTTATTTTAAAAAAGCATTTTAAAGAAAATGAAGTACATCGCAACCTTTAGGTAGATGATGATTTATTACTGGCAGAGAAGTGCCTGAATATCTCCATATTTGAGCAACGAGCTAGGCGCCCGAATAGCCTTCCATTTGACAGCGAGGTGCCCGAATATGTATTATAAACTTCAAACTTCATATGTTTTATATCGAAATTACCACACTCGTTCGCTTCATTCGCTCACAACTTTTAGAAACAGGATTATTCTGAGCAATAAGAATAAGCCCAAATCTCCTCATATTCGTGCCTCAAATTGACCGCACATAATGATTTTGTTATCCATGTATTTGGCAGCAAGGTGCATGTACGCTTATTTCCATATGTGTTGATAATAAAGTAATTTTTGAATTAGATGTTAAAGGGATCCGGTAACGTTGTCTCGGATTCTAAAACAAAATCCTGGATTTAGCTCATGCTGAAATGATAATTATAAACATTTAGGTCAGTCAGGAACCCCATAACTTTTACAAACCGATCGCCTGTCTGATTATCAAGATATTTATGATTGGAAATCGAAACCAAATTTTGCGATTTCTTAACGGTTTTCATAGCTGTACAGTCTAATCGGGGAAAACGAGTATGGTAAAATCGGTCACTCAAAGATTTTTACTTTTTTGAGGCACTTCTTGATCCGTTTTGAAGCGCAATTTTTTAAGGCTTCAATATTACACCACATCACAGACACTGATAACAAGTAGGTCCGTGCATCTCAAATTTAAAATTGTTAAACGATACCTTTAAAGACATCAGAGTGAACGGTACAGAAATTAAGCTTAATTCATTATGCTGATGACACAACGTTTTATTTATTAAAACGACGTAGCGTCGCTTAAAACTATTATGTATATCTTAGACCAATTTAAAGTTTTTCAGGACTATGCATTAACCGGAACAAATCGGAAAGAGTAGCTCTTGGGTATTACAAAGTCCATCCACCCGACATATCTTTTTTCTGGACTTAGATATTCCAATGGACCCTATAGACTGCTAGGAGTGTATTTTTCTATTAATCCTGATGATATATTTGATTTAAATTTTTCCTCCAAAGTTACAAAATTGAAAAACATCTTGAGAATAATATGGAAAATGAGAGACTTTAACACCTATAGGGAAAATCACTGTTTTAAAGTCGCTGGGCCTTTCTCAATTAGTATATCTTTTATCCGTTCTGCCAAAGCCGCCGGAGGAATTTTTGCAAGAAATTGATTCTTTAATGTACTCCTTTTATATGAAGTGGAAAACCAGATAAGATTAACCGTCATACAATCATTGGAGATTATAATATTAAGCGCTTAGGCACATCGTTGGATCGGTGTATTGAGCGCTGTATAAAAAACCGGATTATTATTATTATTATTATTATAATCAAGGTGGATTAAAAATGAGACATCTTCCTTCAGTTGTTATAGGATTGAAAATTTCATGGGTAAAACGATTGATTGATGTAGAAAATACAGGTAAATGGAAAAGCTTTTTTTTAATACCATTTGAAACATCTTGTGGGAGAGATTTGTTTTGGTTATGCAATTTAAAGTTAATGACCCCAAATATCCAATGTAAAGAACCACTTGATACGTGATTTTTTTTTTTACTTGCTTGGAGTGCGTTGACCTTCTCCCCTTAATTGACTGATGTACATTCAAGATCAAGTGTTGTGGAATAACTAATCCAAACAGATGGTAATGTTGTATTTAAGCACAATTGGATATATATTGGAATAACTCGTATAAGACATTTGTTAGATGAGCATGGTAAATTTTATTCTCATATGACATTTATTCAAAAACATAAAGTTCAATGTCATTTTCTTGACTACTCCTCATAAATCGCCGCACTTCCAACAGAATGGAAAAATGGTATCCTACAGCACCAAGCCGAAACCAAAACACCCCAAGAGGAATTAGTGCATAACTTAAAGAAGGTTTTTAAAGTATGCAAATATGTTCGTCAAATTTCTGTTGCAAAGATCCTTAAAGTTCCGATTTCGGAAATAAAATGGGCTATAATTGTAACTGAACCTGTTCAAGACTGGAAGAAACTTTACATTATTCCTTCAAAATGTTGCCTTTCTACGAAACTACGTTATTTTCAGTTCAGAAGTTTACACTGAATACTATGTGTCAACAAATATCTTCACATGATGGGCATAGCTAATTCTAATTTATGTATATTTTGCTTATCCTCTGTTGAAAGTATTTCACACTTGTTTTTGGGAATGCCTTGTTACGCATCAATTCATTCAAAGCTTCCAAAGCTCTATTCTAAACAATGAAGTGCTTTTGATTAAAAAATCCTTTTTGTTTGGTTTTCCAGATGGTACGCAATCTATCTTTAATTTTGTCATTTTATATGCAAAACACTATTCTCTGCGAAATACAAAAGGGAACGGCTATCTTTGAATTCTTTTAGTTCCCTTGAAACACTTACGAAGCTTACAATGATGTTGTCGGGTAGTCGTCAAAGACTTACATCATGCTTTGGTTTAGATTTAATCCTCTATAATCATCACATTGAAAGAGTTATTGGTGTTATGCTTGATGGGTATTGTCACGGAAAGACAACATTGACTGTATAGCACAAAGGTCTCACAACGAGACCATCTGCAAACATGTATTACCAAGTGAGATTTGGAAAGAGTTATGTTGTTCCCTCATTATGCCATTCTTAGAAAAGGATTGTGGTAAAAACCGTTTTTCGCCCTAAAGGGGCTTTAATTCACACCGGGCCTTGCGTAGAGTTGCGTAGAGTTGCGTATCGACTACGCCGATCGTACGCAACCCTACGCAACTGTACGCGGAGGGACGCGAATGGGTACGCGAGATGAACGCAAAAAATTAAACATGTATATTTTTTTTCGCGTACCTTCGGCGTAGACTTTACTACGCAACTGTACGCCAAGCCTACGCAACTGTACGCCAAGCCTACGCAACTGTACGCCGAGCCTACGCAAATGTACGCCAAGCCTACGCAAAATTACGCTACCCTACGCCAGTCCGACGAAGTATTAAAAACGTATAGTATAAAGATTTTTGTTGATATATATATGGATGTAAACTTGGCAGGTATTGATCATTGATCATTCTTGCTTGTAATTCTGTTTGTACTACTACAAGGTATTTCAGACTGACATGTTTTGTTTTGTTATGGTTTATTCAATTTGTGATAATTGACATCTCAGGCTGTTGATATAATAAACAGAGATAAGATTCATAAGCTGATGCCTCATGCGAAAATTTTATTATGTTTTGTGGAAATCTGTATGTATTTGTGTCGGTTTGTTTGCTTGTTTGTACGTTTGTGGTCCTGTTTGTATGTTTGTAATATAATTTTGTTTAATTGAAATGAGCAAAGAAATAATTTTGTCTCACTCTGTTAGTGAGACCGAGTGAGTGTGTATGTCCGAAGTATTTCTTTAAATCTAATAAATGACTAACATTTATATCCTTACATTGTCACACACAAATACGCTACGGACCAAGGACAACAGATATCGTCTTCAAACTTTCAGGAAACTGTTATGGAATGATATTTTACAAATGAGTTAAAAAAAAAAAAAAAAGGGATATGGTCAACAAATATCAGACTTCTGTCCACATATTCACAAATCAAAATAAGCGCTCTCTTTTGTTGGCGTTTTGAGGTATCAATTCACATCACGTGACCTTGCAATGTTCATCAAAAGAAAGTTCATGTATTACCCTTTTGAATGATACATAGTACAATAATGTAGTACATCAACAAAAATGTCTGCATTTTTTGGAAAATAAAATCTTGAACAAATTAACATTACTGCAAAATAACCTCAGCAGTTGCTAATACCTACTAAAAAAACTGAAAATTTAACGGTTAAAAACGTGTACCAAATGCCACTTTTTACTATATGGCAGGTTTATAAATGTTATTTTCTGCACTTACTATTTTACGCAAATAGGCGTTTCAGCCCTATTTCACGCATGCAAAGGAGACCCACTGCCCCTTGGATGCCACAGTTTGTCAGAATGTTATTATTATACTAAGATCAAGTTATGTTCACATGTAATAACATGTACAATTCTTTGTACACTGCACAGTTCATTTATACAATAAATTGAACTGTCTTTGTAACATATTTTTTTATTATATGTTTATAAAGCGCCAATCGCTATACTCGCGGCGCCTACGAAGAAAAAGAAAGAAATACAAGTTATACAAACATCAGAAGGTCACTGATCAGTACATTTAAAGGTAAAGAAATCAAATGGAATTTGGGTCACTGCAAAAGTTCAAATAAATTTGAACTTGTCGAGGCTGTGCCAAAGGTTTGAATTAAAATATTTTTGCAATGGATAATTATGTACATAAATAATTTACTGGACAATAACAAAACAATACAAAACGATCCAAATTTAAATGGGATATTTATATTGACGAAATGTGTAAGAAAATAAGTAAAGTAATAAGGTTCATAGTCGCCTATCAGGCAGAGTAGCCTATAACTGAATCAAATTTAAAAAAGTGAGCACTTAAACAAAAATCAATTTTCTACTGACGAGTTGCACCATCATCTTCAGAATATTTTCATTTCAGTACATGCCGAGGATGGACTGATCACAAAACACAAAAACTAAGGCACTTTTGAGGGTTCACCCGGCGGTCTAAACTCTAAATAGACTGAAGAAGAGGAACAAAAATGTACCAGGTATGAAACAAATTACTTGATTCAAACGTAGATGGGGCTCGACTACTGCCAAAGAAAGCTATATCAGGCCATCAGGCCAGGCCAGGCGAACTGCCGAGCTTTACGGGCTTAACGTTTGCCTGTTATACCGGCGCGCCGCGATCGCGACGGCATATAGCTAGACGTTGTTTATATCATTTGTATGTACGTTTCCTTGAATAGAAAAGAGAGAAATTGGAGCTGGCTGATGCTATCACTCAAATGACGTTACACAATTTACAAGTAATAAAGGATGGTGCAGACGTATCAGTCACCCGTGAGGGTGTACCAATACCCCTTCGAATTGGTCATGAGAGTAAGTAATTCATTATCTTTTTCTTAATTCTCAGGCAAAAGTAAACTAGACTAGTGTAGTAGGCCTACAGGCCTACCGAGTACCGGTAGTCACTTGGTTTTCAACATGTATTAATCCCACCGATAATCTTCCTTCAAATTGTTGAGACAGTTCGCGTCACAGAGACGCCATCGATCGGACTAACACGTTACTAGCCTAGAATCTACATTTCTTATACTTTTATAGACCGAAAATTTCTGTCTCTTTCGTTATTTAGCCTACCCATGAAGCATGAAGAAGCTAACAAACGAAAGAGACAGAAATTTCTGTCTACAATTCTAGTTTCTACATGCAGCAGAATTTCCTGTGTTGCTTGAAATTATTGGGAAACACTGCGGTCTTGTCTGTCCTTGCCGATTTTTACCAAGGGCTATACCAGATGCCTGGTATGGTAGGGGCGCTGGTCCGAGAATAAGGATCGTCCGCATTTACACAGACGTTTAATCTTATTAATCTTCTTATTCGATCCTCTCGTTGGCGATGCGAAAAATTGATTCCTCAAAGATTTTCTTGATGCATTTTATATTGACTTTGTACCCGTTATGAGCGATAAATCCTCGGGAAGATGGACAACCCATAACATAAGAGTAGATGGTGAACTGGGGGTATTTTATTAACGTAAATTTGTTATTCGCAAAGCCTTCGCAGCGCGCCAGCAATGAAAACAAAAGTCAGTGAAAATGCGCACAATCCTTATTTTTTAGGAAGCAATTTGTCCGTGTTTATGTGGATAGCCTTGTTTATGCTGACGATCCTCATTCTTGGATCATCTCCTCTATTCTACTGGTCTCTGTTTAGCCTTATTTAGTCCAGCATCTTACTCTTATCTATCTAGGTCCATAAACGCTATCGCAATCTCTCCCTTACCCTTCCTGCTGCAAGCCGTGGATGCCGTGATCCTCGAATCTGCATGCATCGACTCATGATCAAGTATATATGGCCAGCCTTAATTTTGGCACTTGTTCACAGCTGCGATCATTTGGACCTGTGACTCCGGCGTGGAGATACTCTACTATAACACACCAAAAATCTTCCACAATTGTTCAAATAATGGTCATGATTTAAAAGTGGTTACCTTTCTTACATGTACCTGTTTTGTGTCAATTTTCATATCTTTTTTGAGGTATTTTTCCTAAAAACGAATACATTAGTATCCGGCCCCCCCCCAACTCTGTGCTATTTAGGACACGCGTACGCATGTTCCCTCTCATTGAAAGCACCCGACTAAAGTCTGGTGTGTAAAGTCGTTACGAGCCGATTTTTTGTGTATTACGAGCTGGACTTTGGTGCATGAAAAGTACCCCTTTACCAGGGATTTTTGGAATATGAATGCGGTCCCTCCGTTCCCGAAGTGGGGGGGGGGGGGGGGGGGGGGGGGGCGGGGGGGGGGGGGGGGGGGGAGGGGGGCCCGGATTAGAATACACTTTCTCACAGGTTTCATTGAAAACCGCGACACAATACTAGTGAATACCGTCAGTAGGCCGGGGTGTGAGTGCGCGTGCGTGAAGTTAGTGACCTTAATGATCATCACCAATTCATAATGTGAATTACTTGCATGAATTTAATGAGGATCTGAGATTACAGTCGCTAACTTCACGCATGCGTGTTCATGTACACACACACCAGCCTACTGGCATGCACTTGTATTGTGCAACGGAAAGACACAATAGGAAATGATAATTATTTAGCAAGATTTCTTTCAATCATCATAAACGCTGATGATCTTTGCAGTTTCATTATTATTGGTCATCTTTATATCCCTCTTGAGGATCAGGACCAGGATCAGAACAGATACAGAGTATTGACAAATCCATCTGTAATTAGAATATTTAAAGAAATACTATCACGAACGTCGAATCCTCGACCAATGCACCCTTCTCTACAAGATCCATCGCCGTCTTGTCTCCATACAATGTACCTGCACCAACTATTGTCATCCCTGCTACATACTTTGGAAGACACGACCACAACCTGAAGTATGTAATTCCAGTTGCAACTATTGACTCCTTCAAGTTCTTGTACTACCCAAGAGTAATAAGGATCTGGAATCATCTGCCTGGCTTAGCAGTCAATGCAACAGGAATAACCAACTTCAAGGAGGCTGCTAGCTGCTCTACCCTCCATCAGAATGATGCAGCCCCCTGTTGGATCCCACATCATATAATTATAAGCTTACTAGCTTGGTTTTTACTCGCACTGGACTTATGTAAATATCAACAGTAGACACTGCAATACAAATTTTAAAAATCATTGATTTTTCTCACATTCCAGTGTTTCGTCTGAAGTTGCTAAGGAACTGTACTGGCAAACACAATATATGCCTGCTCTTTAAGCATTGGTCAATGATTCCTGTTTTTGGTCATGTGGCACACCACTCACTAATTTTACTGACGCTACTTCAAACTTAGTATAGAGCAATCTGCTGCTCACAATGTTCCTATGTGTACATGTACATGCCCCACAATGCATCACCAACTTATGACTTGCGTGATGATTATTAGGTACAGGAACTTGAAATCGCTCTATGTACGCCTTCACCAAAATATGGCACAATACCCAATAGCCAAAATGTTTCCACCAAACTTCCATGCCACCTCTGCATGTAGATGTACATGTAGTCCCATAAATTCCTGCATGCAGTGCATATGACTTTAAAGGGATCCGGTAACTTTGTCTCAGATTCTGAAACAAAATTCTGGATTTAGCTCATGATGCAATGATAATTATAAACCTTTAGGTCAGTCAGGAACCCCATGACTTTTACAAGCCGATCACCTGTCTGATTATCAAGATATTTATGATTGGAATTACAAATTTGAAAACCGTTCGCCTGACGGTTTTCATAACACTACAGTCTATTGGGGAAAACGAGTATGGTAAAACCGGTCACTCAAAGATTTTTACTTTATTGAGGCACTTCTTGATCATTTTGAAGCGCAATTTTTTTAGGACTTCAATATTACACCATATCACAGACACTGATAACACGTAGGGCCGTGTATCTCAGATTTAACATTGTTAAACGATCTCTTTAAGCAAAAGTTTAATCTATTTTCTATTTTTGTATAATTTTGATAATTCCAAAACCTTCTTGAATCTTGATAACAACATCACTACTTATTTGCTACAAAATCAACCTTTACCCATTGTTCCTAGAGAGTTTCTTTCACAAAGCAATTGCATTTGTGCCCAGAACACAGCTTATACTGTAGAGAAACCTGTCCATAGACCCACACAGAGGAGACAAGAAAAAACAGTGTTTATAGTACCGTAGATGGTATTTATGAAGGTTCCAGTAGGGCATGTTTTAGACTTCAGTGACAAACACAATTGAAGGGAAACAGAAAATGTGGTCATTACAGACAGGTTGTTGCTAAAGCAGGTGTCACTGTATTTGAGAAAGTGACATGTACATGTACATGTACATGCATGAGATTGAATTAAAGCAGTTATAAATGGAGACCGATTGGACTGGAGACTGTGATTAATCACTCTCTGATCACTACTACTTTGCACCCTGGAGTGACGTCATGCAGTGCAGGAAATAAGGAGGAACATGCTAATTTAAGGGTTGGTTGTTCTGTCGTCATGGCAATGGACATAAATAATACACTTACAGAATACCAATCAAAGAGGATCAAATTTAAGATGGAGAGAGAGAGATACATACATACAATGTACATGTATTTGCTGAGTAATGTAAAGGAATGTTTTTAACTTTGGCAGCCTTCTGAACTTATTTTGTTAGTACAGTGTAGTTGGATATTGTAAAGGGAACAGGCAGTGAAATAAGTGGGGGGGGGGGGGGGGGGGAGGGGGCAGAGCCTTCAAATGAGTGAGTTGGCTTTTTACAAGGTTTGACTAAAAATGATACTGCACTCAGGGATATAACTAAGACACCAAATACATGTACATGTATTCTCATGGATTTAAAAAAAAAAAAAATTTAATATGAAATGTATGCTTGAGTATATTGCTCCAATCCAGCTTGCCTGTAAGTAATTTGTATAGAAAAAATATATGTGTTTATAAGACGCACTTTGGGGAGTCGGGGGTGATCTTATACACAGGTTCAGGGTATTTTAAGTCCTCAAAATGCTACTTTTTAGTGGTTTTCGAAAATCTCTGTGTCTCAACTTGAATTACATAATGCGAATAAAAGGATCTACTATTTGAAGTCCAACTACGTTCCTAATTTGAAGGGAAGAGATTTTTTTCTCTTTTTTTTTCAGTCTCATAGCATTTTGCCGGCCAAAGCTCTCCCGTGCCTTCAGCTCACTCACCCGTATCAGGGAATATCAACTCACCACTCGAAATCTAGCCTCTCCAAATTTCTGTTTGGACTCAGACCAAAATTTCTCTGTAATCTTTAGTTTTAAAAACAACATTGTTACTATTATTTGTGACAAGTTCACAAGCACTTCAACTGCACCTCGTAATAAATTAAAGTCCTTCCTTGCATGGCTTGGGTTTCTGAACGTACCTTACAGAACGCTGAAATAAGATGCTATCTGATCTGGCTTGCTGCATTAGGTGTTGGGAAAAAAAGCAAAACAAAAAACAAAAACAAATTATTTGTTGTTATTGTTGATCTTGGTCTTAAAAATAGGATGCGTCTTATACACAAAGCTTTACGGTATTTCAAGATGAGTGGAATGTCAAGATGGTTCAAGAGATGCATGTGAATTTAACGCTTGTTCAATGGTTGTATAGTCTGCCCTGGACTGGAGTGCCACATCCCATGCTGTAATGTAATACAATTTCCCCTTTTGTAGGAATGCTACACTCAACTTATCAAGCTCAACTCTTATTCGGTTGTAGAGGCCACCTCCTGTACTTATTTCATTTGAAGAAGCACATGTAAATTGTAAGCAATCCTTCATAAAGTCTTGCTCACACATTGCGGGTATAACCATGACATGTACATGAACATGATATGTCTGTATGTGAACATTTTTTTT